ATTTTTGACGTCACTGAATGAAAAAGATGTTTAATGTGAAGCAAAGTTTGGGGTGCGGTAGCTTAAAAGACTCTATAGACCTCGCATGTCAAACTGGGGACCTTCCGGGCCAAAGTGCTGCAGAGATTAACATTTACCCTCATCTAACGCTCTGAATTCAGTTCATGAAGGCCTTGCTAATTAGCTGAATCAGGTGTGTTTAATAAGGCAGTGTGCTGAAGTCTGCAGTGGTTTGGACCGCGAGGACTGAAGCCTGACACACATAGACTTTTGACTATTAGTACATATCACTGAAGTAATGCCTCAAGCTAACACTAACGCTAGTTAGCAGTACCCTAGCATTATCTGTCATTATGGTAGCTAGTTAGAACGAGTAGCTAGCCTAATATTTACAGTAGTAATCTGTTTTTTCTCAACTCTCCCATTCGTAGCATTGCAAGGCCAGAATATGTAATGTTAGTTCCCGTGACATCATAATATAGGCTGGTAATAGAGAGCTAAAAAAGGTGAATTTCCCTGTTTCCAAAAGCTGTTTAGAAGCTTCTACCATTTCTCTCCCATGGCTGTGTTCCCCTAGACCCTAAAGTTCTCCAATGTTCAACTCAAAGTCGTTCGCAAAAGTTTGAGCACCCCTGGTCAAATGACATGATGTGTTGATCATCAGTTTACACGTCCTCTACAGAGGACATGCTTCTATTAATATTACTGTTTATTTGCTGAATTTAACATACTTCCAAAACGATAACAAACAGCACATTGTATGTTATGTGTTATGTTCAATGTGTTAAACTTGAAAAATAAATAGAAACTGGGCTCTAAATTATTATTATTATTATTATTAATTTGTTGACAACTGATAAATTTAGATAAAATAACCTTGACTAATAACATTTGTAGTATGATTTATCTTATTTCTTCCTTTATGAGCTTTATTAGGAGCATTTGTTTAGGTTATTTACCTGGATTTGAGGACTGGAGATGGTTTACAAGAACTTTTCTAAGCCTTGCCAGTATTTCCAAGCACATAGTCTCTGGCTCTTTCTGTGATAGTAGAGTCTGTATGTATGATAATAGTGACTGTAAGGCCCTTCTGTACAGGTTAGAGCAAATTCTGTCTGGGTACATGAAGGGTTAATCGCTTCCCGTAAATGAGGGGACCTACAGGCATCTGCTGTGTAAATTCAACCTTTGATAAGTTGGAAAGCCCACTAGAAGTCCACTATTGATCACACATGGGTCAGTGAGGCAAAACTGTATTTTTTGTAAACTCTGAATTCATGTAAGATCCGATGTGCGAATATTTACCAGTTTCTCATATTTAAGCATATTTGAATGCAGCTGAAAACTTCCATCAGTAAAAATCATTATTTATTGTTTGTTCATAAGTGACAGTGAATATTCTACTTACTCACTGGTTAGTTTGCCAATAGGTTGCAAATCACTGTGAATGTTGAATTAGTAGCAAAATGTTGATTGTTCTTGCCAAAAAAAGGTTCTTAAAGGGTTCTTTAGTACCAACAACGGTCCTCTATAGAACCATGAACACTCAAAGAACTATTTGTATGACTAAAGAGATCTTTGCATATCATCTCAAGCTTTTTGTTGCTATATAGAACCATTTTCAAAAAGATTCTACTGTATATAGAACCATCTACAGCACATTCTCCTTTTCATGATGGTTCTATATAGAACCAATTTTTTTTTTACTGAAGAATGTTTGAGGAACCAGTTTTTTAAGGGTGATGCTTTAAGGGTTCTTTGCATGCTGAAATGGCTCTTCAGACTGAGGGAGAATGGGCCAGATATGATTCTATATAGCATCAAAAAGGGTTCTTCTATTGTTACAAGCTTAACATGGTGACAGTAGCAGAACCCTTTTTGGTGCTATATAGAACCATATTCAACACAATACATTATACATCAGTCTGAAGAACCATTTCACCATGCAACAAACCCTTTAAGCATTACACTTAGAAAAGATGGTTTGTCAAGGGTTCTTTAGTAAAGAAAATGGTTCTCTATAGAACCATGAACACTCAAAGAACCCTTTGCATGATTAAAGTGTTCTTTATATCCATCAGTCTGAAGAACAATTTCACCAAGCAAAGAACCCTTCAAGCATGCAAATTGTTCTTTGAGTGTTCATGGTTCTATATAGAACAATTGTCTTTACTAAAGAACACTTGAAGGACCAAGTGTGATGATTATAGGGTTCCTTGCGTGGTGAAATGGTTCTTCAAATTGATGGTGAATGTGTCAGATAAGATTCTATATAGCATCAAATAGGGTTCTTCTGTTGTTACAAGCCTGACATGGTGACAGTAGCAGAACCATTTTTGGTGCTATATAGAACCATATTCAACACAATACATTTTCCATCAATCTGAAGAACCATTTCACCATGCAACAAACCCTTTAAACATCACACTTAAAAAAGAAGTGTTCTTTAGTAAAGAAAATGGTTCTATATAGAACCATGAACACTCAAAAAGACCCCTTTGCATGATTACAGGGTTCTTTATATCCGTCAATCTGAAGAACTATTTCACCAAGCAAAAAAAACCCTTTAAGCATGCAAATGGTTCTTTGAGTGTTCATGGTTCTATATTACTAAAGAACTCTTGAAGAACCATCTTTTTTAAGAGTGGATGCTGGTAGAGAGAGACAGAATTAGAGAGCACAGAAGTCTTAAGGCCTTTACAGACGGATTGTTGGTTACTAACTGAGGATGTCTTGCATACCAAACATACTATTCACTCTGTTTGGTTTCTGCAAACTTTCACAGGCAACATGAACTCATTTGACCAGTCACTGGAACATCTCTGGCAATCTCTGACGTTGGCATGAAGATGGATCAATCGTGTAGAACGTTTTGCACAGTTTGAACATTATGTTTGGTCCTAGCATCACCAAAAGTAGCTCAAGCTGATTCATTCACTTTGGAGTGAGCGCAGATCATTTTTCAGCTCCTGAAAGGTCTCCACACTCCTTTCGCTTTCTCCTAAATGGAGAGCTGCCAGCCCGATGTTTGCCCTTTCCGTGAGGAGTGAACAACACAGCAAAATTCCCCTCCCCAAAAATCAGTCATGCCTAGTTTGGATGTAAAAACATTGTGTCTGATTTATTTTGCGTGTTTATTTGCACCACGGCCTTTTGGTTGCAGAATCCTAGGTTATTGATTATGATAGGTAGTATTGGCTCTGGGGTGTCGATAAAAACCTGTGGAGACAAGGTCTACTAATCTTAATACAGTCAAGCTGTTGGCACTTATAGACAATAACACCCTTTAGAGCCACCAACATGAGGCCCGTGGGCCGAGTCAGGTCCGTAGCACGATCCTCTCCAGCCCATGAAATTGTTTTCATTTTCTATTAATATTAGCCCATTTCACAGTGTCCTGCACTACAATCCCCAACATGCACTGCAACGTGAAGTGCACTCCAACACCCCTCCCCCCAACAGCAATCTATGGGTTACACCTTAATCCTACCGCACCAGTCACATCACCAGACACACTAGATTGAGTGTCTACTGTGAAGCAGAGATGTATGGCTGCTGTGCCTTTTGGTTGGTGTTTCAATAGAACAGCACTACCTGCAGCAGAATCATGACCTCTCCTGTGTCTCCTTCTATGCTGGTGCCACAACATACGGTGTGAAAAAGTGTTTGCCCCTTCCCAATTTCTTCTATTTTTGCATATTTGTCACACTTGAGTGTTCGAGATCATTAAACTATGTTTAATATTAGACAAATATAATCCAAATAAACATAACTTGCTGTTTTTAAATGATGATTTCATATACTGAAGATAAAAATGCTGTTCTGTCCTATCAGGCCCTATGTGGAAAAAGTATTTGCCCCCTTAGCTAGTAAATCAACCAGTTAACCAAGTTCAATTGACTGTTGGGTTTAGTTTCATGAGCCACACCCAGGCATGATTACTGCAAGACCTGTTGAATCGAAACATCACTTAAATAGAACCTGTCTGGCAATGTGAAGCAGCTAGAAGGTCTCAAAAAGCAGCACATGATACAAAGTCATTAAAATCTACCAGTCTGGAAAGGGTTACAAAGCCATTGCTGAGGTTCTGGGACTGCAGTGAACCACATTGAGAGCCGTTATCCACAAATGAGGAAAACTTGGAACAGTGGTGAACCTTCCCAGGAGTGGCCGACCTACCAAAATTTCACCAACAGCACATTGACGACTCACCCAGGAGGTCACAAAAGAACCCAGATGAACACTTAAAGAACTGCAGGCCTCACTTGCCTCAGTTAAGGTCAGTGTACTCGATTCCACAGTAAGAAAGACACTAGGCAAAAATGGCATCCATGGGAGAGTTGTAAGGTGGAAACCACTGCTGACCAAAAAGAACACAAAGGCTCATTTTGCGTTTGCCAAAAAAAAAACATCTAGATGACCCCGAAGACTTTTGGGACAATATTCTCTGGACTGATGAGTCAAATGTGGGACTTTTTGGAAGCAATGGGTTCCATTACAACTGGCGTAAAGTTAACACCGCATTCCACCATAAGAACATCATACCAACAGTGTGATGGTCTGGGGCCGCTTTGCTTCTTCAGGACCTGGACGACTTCATAATTGATGGAACCATGAATTCTGCTTTCTATCAGGATTGGGGGACAACTACCTTTTCACACAGGTGATAGAGGTTTTGAATTAATCTTTATCTTCAATGAATTGAATGCTCATTTAGAAGCTGCTCTTTGTGTTTACTCATGGTGTCTTTATCTTATATTTAAATTAGTTCTGAAATATTTAAATGTGACGAAATAGCAAAAACAGAAGAAATTGTGTGGGGGTGAATACTTTTTCACAGCACTGTACATATTGCATAATGCATAGTTGTGTATTCTAAACATCCTCAGAGAGAGAGAACAGAAAGAGAGAGAGAGAGAGAGAGAGAGAGAGAGAGAGAGAGAGAGAGAGTTTTCACTAGACAGAAACTTCCGGGAGTGCGCGCGTGCGCGTGAGTGTGAGTGAAACTCCCCGGAGCGCGCGAGGATGGTGTGTTGAATGGAGAGCTGAGCGGGACACAGAGTGAATGAACAGAAAGAGAGAGAGAGAGACGGCGATAAAGTTCCACTCCACCACAGCGTCTGTTCACGTGAGTACGAGGCGCGTGCGGTTCTCCTTCAGCTTCACCTGAGCGCGAGGCCGGTGTGTTTAACTCACAGGTGAGACTGCTCAGCCCGCAGCTGCGTCCTGCGCCTGTATTCATCTCTCTGTGGGGACCCGGTCCGTCCTGTCTGAGGAATCAGGGTCGGTCAGTGTGATCTGCGCGAGGATACGCGCTTCGTTAGAGCGAGTAAAGGAGTGTAAAGCTGGAGTTTGGGCTGTTTACATAGTTGAGCTCTAAACAGATGATTACTAATGACAGCCTGAACCTGCGGCGAAATCACGTGGGACACTGACGCCAGACACTTCACCAAACAGGACCGTCAACATGATAATCAACATTCCAGCGCGAGACATTCCATCACACCTGTAGACTCACTGTGTGTATCTCTCTCTCTCTCTCTCTCTCTCTCTCTCTCTCTCTCTAAGTGAACACAACTTAGAAAACACACTTATACTTTTACTTACAAAAGTGGGTCATTCTACAGAAACGTCCACTTTGTCTGTCCGTAGGAGTCACTGGTGTTACCGATCCTCATTGGTGTTACACACAAGAAAGGTAACACCAGAGACATTTTTAATGAAAAACGCGTTTTACAAAACGGCTGCTAAGAGCATAATCCATTTGTATTCTATTTTTTTTCACAATTAGCTAAGAATAAAGTCGGTCACACCAGTGACGTCAGCTAAAATCTTCATATGAAATCATGAGCTAAATGAGAAAATCTCTGATAACTGAAAGACACAGTGGACTCGCCATGTGCTTTTCTTCATAGATCCTCAGAAAACAGGTAAAAGGAAGTCAAGTGATGTCATCAGTGTGACTTTTCTTTCAAAATAAGAGGTTTTTTGTTATGCAGTAACACCAGTGACAACTTTCTTTATATATTTTATAATATTTATTTGGCATTTGTTTGCTTTGTCGTTTAATTCATATATTCCACAGTCATGAATAGATTATTGCAGTTAAAATTGCAAAAAAAACATGTTTTTTTGCCTCAAAATATGGCCTCAGCCTTTACACGACTGTGAGGACGAGCTCTTCTGTGGTGCTTGGAATTCTATATAATTGACTAACAAAACAATATTGCAAAATTGATGGTTCTAGAAGGTGTAATTGTTAAAATAATATGTTTTTCAAGTGTAATATATCTGTAAATGCTAGGGACACACAAATGGATGTTTCTGTAGAATGACTCAAGTGCTTTGTTGTCTACTCAGAGAAAGTATTTTTGCTAGTTACACATAGGCTAGAGAGAAAGCTCCTGAGCTGATGTTGAGACCTAGAGAAAAGAAATAGAATTAAACACAGTGCAGTGCAATACATTACAATAGTATATGTGTTAGTGCTCACTTAAGTGCTGTATAAAGAGATGAGTCTTCAGTCTGTGTTTGAAGACAGCGAGAGACTCTGCTGTTTGGACAGCCAGTGGGAGTTTGTTCCACCACCTGGGTGCCAGGACAGAGAAAAGTCTTGATACTTGTCTTCCACACGTCTTGAAGGATGGCGGGTCAAGCTGAGCTGTACTTAAAGCTGAAGGGCTCAAGATACAGTTTGAGTTTTGACCATTGCCATCAGGGGCTGGTCCGTTTTTGGCTTTGTAAGCAAGCATAAGGGTTTTAAATCTGATGGGTGCAGCTACTGGAAGCCAGTGAAGGTAGTGCAGCAGTGGAGTGACGTGACTGAACTTAGGAAGATTGAAGACGAGCCGTGCTGCTGCATTCTGGATGAGTTGCAGAGGCCTGATGGCCGCATAGGAAGACCAGCCAAGAGCGAGTTGCAGTAGTCAAGCCTAGAGATGACAAGAGACTGAACTAGCACCTGGGTGGCCTCTCGAGTGAGAAAGGGTCAGATCCTCTGGATGGTGTACAGGAGAAACCTGCATGACCGAGTCAGGTTCGCGATATGAGCTAAGAATGATAACTGGCCATCTAGAATCACACCAAGACTTCTAGCATCTTCAGACGGAACAATCAGAGAGTTCATGGGGAGTACATGATGAGGACCTGTAGTTGCAGGGATGAATAGCAGCTCAGTCTGGCTAGGATTGAGCTTCAGGTGATGAGTTGCCATCCATGAAGAGATGTTAGTCAGACATGCTGAGATGTGACTGGAAATCTGGGTGTCAGAAGGTGGGAAGGAAAGCATTAGTTGGGTGTCATCAGCATAGCAGTGATAAGAGAAGCCATGATATTATATCACCAAGAGAATGAGTGTAAAGTAAAAAGAGAAGAGGACCCAGCACCGAGCCTTGTGGGACACCAGTGGAGAGCCTGCATGGAGAGGATGTGGACCTGATAAGAGTGACCCTCCAGATAGGACTTGAACCACTTTCACACAGAGCCAGTGATTCCAGTGATGAGGACATCCGGAAGGACTGTATGGTTGACCGTGTCAAAAGCCGCTGAGAGGGCAAGAAGAAGACTGATATATGTAAATGAGCTTGTAAATGACCGTGGTTTGGTGTGAAATGGTTCAGATTTCTTTAGAGTGGTGGTGATAGGAACCAGGGGTCGCCATGACTACAACACAAACAGACATTTTATGTACTATCCAAAACCACCAGTGAACCTGCACGTCTTCTAAACTTTTATATGGAATATTGATGATGGTAAAATAGTGGGACATCTGAAACATGTTTTTCTTGGGGACCATTTGGCCCTATAACACCCTGCATTTATGTCTCCATTTATAGAAAAATATTTTGGGTCGAAACTTTCTCATATAGCAATGTCTCCATCATCAGGCAGTGAATCCATAACCATTTCCTGTAGTAACTCTCTGTGAGGGAGCTTTTAGAGGTGGACTTCTGGTTCCGATCACCACCACTGTGAACAATCCTGACTCGGTAAGTGTCTCTAGAACAGAGCGTTTCACACCAAACCACTCTGAATGACTCTGTTTGAGAGGGGGGGGGCGATGGGTGGGGGGGGTCTCCTAATAACAGTGTGTTTCTTTGTGTCTGTGATTCACTGTTATTCATTCACAGCAATCATTAACTGCATCAAAACTGCCCGAACAGAGGACTCATTTAAGCTTTCTCTCACCTGATCTCTAGGTACAAACACTGGTGGTCCAGATGTGACAGGAATGACTCCATGACGGCAGTGACTTTGCGGTGAGTCTTAATCAGATCATTCAAGACACGCAAACACTTTCACCCTACACACAAACATGCAGTCATCTCTAAGAGCTGGATAGAATTAACTAGAATTGTGCTAACCGAAGGAAATAGAAATATGCACTCACTCCAGTTCTCTCTCTGTAAACAGTGAAGACTTTAGAGGAGGAATTTCTCTGTTTTGTCAATATTTATGCATAATTCAGTGGTTGAGATGTAAACAGAGTCTTTCAGAGTGGCTTGATGTGAAAAAGTTCACTGTAGAGAAACTTACAGACTCAGATTTCCGCACAGTGCTGGTGATCGGAACCAGGGGTCACGATAGTGATACGGGAAGTGCCGAGGGGGCTGCGGCAGCCCCAGATTTTAGGACTGCATCTGCTCAAAACAGTAAAATGACTACAGAGATCTGAGGTTTTTAATAATTTGAGCACAACAAAGACTGACGCATGCTCATTTTGGAATAAATTGGAATAAAGTGCTCATAAATTTACTTTATTTCAATTTTTTTTTAATAAAAGCCACAAACTGTTTAAATCACCTCTGTATTTTCATTAAGCGAGCCGAATAGTTTCCCTTGACAAATACTGGCCGCTTTGGATTGTGTCACCAAAAAAACAAGCAGGTTAAGGTACAGACAGGGAAGTGTAGAGATAGAGTCCAGTTCTGATCTGAGTTTATATACGTAATGTTGATGTTGATGATGATGATAAAATAGGGGTATAATAGTGGAATAGTGAAAGTGTAGGGAGTCCAGTTCAGATGTGCGTCAGCAGTCCAATGAGCCACTTATATGTCTATGTGGGTGTCCCTCACTTCATTATAGTGCAGCGTGACGCATTATGTTAGATGCAAATCAAATGGAACAAAGGCAAATAATTTAGCAAGATGTCACCATTCATTTTACATACATGCTGCTTAATATTTCAGCACCCAGAACTTAAAACACCTTCCTGCATACCTGGTTCATTAGATATAGCCATTTTTATTTACTGTCCAAAACAACCAGTGAGCCTACACGAGTCTTCTGAGTTTATATGGAATGTTGATGATGGTAAAATAGTCATAAATCTGGAAAAAAAAAAGGTTTTCTTGATGATTTTGCCTCACAACAGTCTGCAAATATCTCAAAACCATGAAGATTTAAAAGATATTTCATATCAAAACCTCCTCAGAAATACCATAAAACAGTATCTCTGGCATCAACTGTGTGTTCATGACCACTTCACGGAATAACTTTCTGTGAGGGAGCATTTAGAGGTGGACGTCTGGTTCCTGTCACCACCACTGTGAACAATTCTTTCTCGCACCAAACCACTCTGAATGACTCTGTTTACATCTTAACCATTTAATTATGCAGGAATCTCTCTTGGCAGCTAGCTAGCTACTACGTTTTTAGCAGCCTCTTCCATGGCCACTTGCCCTTACATTTGCAGCTAAGCTATTTTTCTGCCTCTTTGGTGCCAGTTTTTTCCACAACTGTGGTCAGTTGCACCAGCGTAAGTTCAAACGTAGGCTAGTTGTAATGAAAGTGTTTACGAAGTTCAGGTTTATGCATTACTAATAAAAACTAGTTTTAACATGGAGCTCAGTAGTTACTAAATATTTACACCCCCCTCTATGCAGGAGTAAGTTTTGGAGAAACCAACAGAAACCGCATAGAAAGCACCGAAAAGACCAAAACATGAATTCTTCTGTTGTGTTGGTCAGCCAGACACCGTCATTTAAAAAGCTGCGTGTCTGGTTTTCTCAGGGAAGTATTAAAGAGTAATCAGACAGCGGCTGTAGATAATTAGTTTTAACCAGTTTAACTTGTACACATCATTCTCTTCTATGCTGGATATTTTTTTCATTGTAAAAGTCAAGGCTGCTGTCTTGTTTCCATGGCAGCGGGTTTATTGTTTAGTTTTGAACATGTTATTGTCATGTTAAAGCAACGTACACATTAGCTAGTTGTTAATAGTTCAGACACGACTTGCAACTAGTGTAACTAAGGACTCAGTAAAGACTTTACGCTGCGACTCAGTCCTGCTGTTTACTAATAGTAAATAAATACAACAGATTTGCTAGGTTGCTTTCTAAGAGCTAACTGTACAGAATTTATTTGCTAGAATTTTGCGAACTGAAAAATAAAATAAATAGTGTAAAAATGTATTTGATGGCTGGTTTGCTAGCTAGCTGGAAAGGTAAAATACAAAGGGTAGTTTTTGGTTCTCCAAAAAAAAGTTAAAATTATTAAAAAAGTTACAAATGATAGGTTATAGTTAACATTTTGTAGTGTATCCACTGGAACCAGCTGCCAGTTGTTGTAAATGTGACATTTTGACATTTCAAATTATTAAAAGGAGACAGTTCTCACTAATAGAGATGCACAACAACCACAACCACCGCCTGCAGTTTCCAACTAACTCCCTCTCAGCTGGCTTGAAGGTGAGCTGGAGAAGAGCAAACACTAAAAGTAAAGAGTGTTTCGTGAGAGTCGTCTTCTCTTTAAGTAAATATTAGTTGTTGTACGCTTCTCAAAATACACTTTGTCACCAAACACTACATTAAATAAACAAGAAAATGTAAAGGCCCAGTCACACTAGAGCTTCTCAGTGAAATTTCATGAGAGAAATTAGAGCGATGTGAAAATTTAAGGTGGAATGGAAAACTTAAACAAAAAAACTGCCAAATAGAAAGTCAACTTAAATAGAAGTTAAGATGTGGAACAGCATTTAGCACCGTTTTCACTCATTTTAGAAAGAAATGTTTCTATTTTGCATTGTTTTCTAACTGAATACATTTCTCCTCACAAATGATATTATAATCATAAGACTCTGGGAGGATTTGAACATGAATTTCAGAAGAAATTTCTGAATTTCAGTGACAAAAGCCTGAAAGTTCAGATCAAATCCACCTGAAAGTTGACTGAACTTGGCCTTCAGTGGAAGAAATAAGACAAAAAAAAGGCCTTAACACTGTCAATTTAACCAATTTCTTTCGATTAGGATAATCGCCGAGAAACAGTTCCGAACCGTGAATATTCCTTCATTTTAATTGTCATAACTTAGTTTTACAAAAAAAAACAAACTATTGTTTCTTTGCAGGATTTTCAAAGTGGCCCCTGTAACTGAAACCGTTGGTAGCCTTGCTGGTAGCTCTGTTGTTGTAACTATTGGTAACCGTATCTGTTACCATTGGTAACTCCAGCTGTGATCATTGGTAACCGTAATAATATGAATTACAACAGAAAAAGCAAATAATATAAATGTTGTTGTCGCCTTAGCTTTCAGTTTAACGGACCAGTGATACGGTCTGCCCTACATGATGGTCAGTTTCTGGTTGCTCTACAAATACAGTTACTTCAGAATGCATTTTAGCACACACCATTTCTTTCAATTATGATAATGGCTGAGAATCAGTTCAGAATCGTAAAGATTCCTTCATTTTGTCTTAAATTCGTTTTTTTAAAACTGTATTGTTTCTTTGCAGGAATCCATGAAAAAAAATAGATTTTCAAAGTGGCCTCAGACTTTTGGACCCCACTGTGGGTTTTTCTTTATATTGTTCAGTTTTTGTACTATTTTGCTCAATAAAAATATAAAAATTTACCTTGCTTATTAAAAAAGTGAGGTGTGTGTGTGTGTGTGTGTGTGTATATATCATGTTCAAACGTTCAAATCCTCATATTGTGTGTGTGTGTATATATATGTATGTATATATATATATATATATATATATATATATATATATACACACAGCTCCAATGTCACTCATACTCTCTGGTGACCTCATGCTTGTATATATAACCTGTATATATGTGTTTGTGTTAGGGGACATGGCTGTACTCAGGCTGCAGGAGGTGAATGTTTCGGGCCTGCTCGTGTCAGTGTTGTGGCTGCTGACTCTGGTCATGTTGCTGATGTCCTGTATTCTCCACAAGAGACGGCGGACCGAAGGGACGTACCAGCCCAGCGCTGAGGAGCGCAAACAGGCCGAGAGCGGAGAGCCCGAGAGACCGTCGCTCACCCTGCCTCTGCCTAAAGAGGAGAGACTCATCTGACTCGTTTTCCCTCTTTATACTAAATGTGGTCAACAGGTTTACACTTTGATACGTTCTTTATTTTTGAGCTGGGGCTACGAGACTAATGAAGGTAACAGGTACTGGACATTAGCATCAGGTTAGCATTGCATAAATCATCTCACACTTGCCTCAACTGTGTGAAGCTGTTGAGTAATTTCTAATAGACTTGCTTAAGTGGTTTCTGTCTCACTCTCTACTACACTGTTAACAGATAAATTCATTAGCATAGCTAAAAACAGTAGCAGTAGCCATGAAGCCGGAATTTTGTCTGCATTGAATCGATCTTTTTACATAACAGTGTGTCATACAGGATCAAAAACCACATAATCAAGTCTATTTTGACAATACGTGCAGTTTGCATGTCACTAGGCTAATTGGTGACAGATAGGCTTCCATTTACTTGTTAGCTACATTAGCCTCCAAGCTCCTGTCCAAAACTGAGAAAAAAAACACTTCAGCTACGGTAAGGGGAAAGTTGTGCAAGTTAGATGTTTTTCCAGACTGCTGCTTTAAATGGATCTGGCTTCACCCTACCTTTGCCAGAGAAGAGACTGATCTGAGATTTGCTCTGGAACCCTTGTAGGACTCTGGATCTGCTGGTGTGCCTAAATAGTCCCCCCCCCACACCTAACAGTGCAATAGTGGCATCAAGTGCATTTAAACAATAGTGGTCTACCACTTTCTAGAAACAGTACCCACACTCCAGGAAAAAAGAAAATCCTCACTCCCTAATTGAACATGCACTGATACCAGTCACTTGGATCTGAAGGTACCAAACTGAAGTAGAATCAGGTCCACTGATAACTGTAACCATTACCATTGGTAACCCTGTACCTGTAACCATTAGTAGCTGTGTAACTGTAACTGTGGCCATTGGTGAACCTGTAACTGTAATCATTGGTAACTCTACCGTTGTTACCACTGGAACCCTGTAACTGTTACTGTTGGTAACCTTGTGACTGTTACAGTTGGTAACCTTGTAACTGTTACTATTGGTAACCCTGTAACTGTTACTGTTGGTAACCTTGTAACTGTTACTATCAGTAACCTTGTAACTGTTACTATTGGTAACCCTGTAACTGTTACTATTGGTAACCCTGTAACTATTACTTTTGGTAACCCTGTAACTGTAACCATTGGCAGCTCTACAGTTGTTACCATTGGTAACCCTGTAACTGAAACCGTTGGTAGCCTTGTTGGTAGCTCTGTTGTTGTAACTATTGGTAACCGTATCTGTTACCATTGGTAACTCCAGCTGTGATCACTGGTAACCTTAATAATATGAATTACAACAGAAAAAGCAAATAATATAAATGTTGTCGTCGCCAGTGATACGGTCTGCCCTACACGATGGTCAGTTTCTGGTTGCTCTACAAATACAGTTACTTCAGAATGCATTTTAACACACACACTTCAAAGCACTGCTCTGGTCACGAAGCTGAAGTGTGTGATTTGTCCATCTGTGTTTGGAAAGGCTTAACTGTGGAACAGCAATTCTCTCTCAATGCTGATCTCAGAGCAGCTCCTTTTGATATTTTTTGGACACTTTTTAAGGTATACATTATGAAACTCCTGTGGTGTGTTCAGTATTTCATGTACAATGAAGAAGTTGAAAATTAGTCTCAATGGTTTTGCTGTGGTCTTTGAAGAAAATTTTATTTATTGACAATATAATTGAACATATGATTAATTGTAATTTGTGATGAACAGCTAATTAAACTATTCTGTGTATGACTTCTTTGCATTTGTGGTTCTTTCAGAGGTTTCATAAATGATGATGTAGTAGATGTACTCGAAGATCTGCGAGATGCTCCATATAGCAGAATCACCCAATAAAGCTGAATAACGTTCAGCCTAACATGAGAACTGTCCAGCTATTCTTTACCTCTACTCTGCCCTTATTCTAGATTTTATTTTTAAGTGTTTTGGTTTCGTGGCCTAAAAAGAGTCATTATTCATTTTAACATGTTCATTTTCCAAACTCTCTTTATCCTCCAAAATTAAACAGGCTGTTTTTTGTTTCTGTGCCTTTAAAAGTGATATATTGTCACTGTCAGAACAAAACTTTGCACCTTCAAAATGGAACTTTTACAGAAGGAACAAACATTCATAACTTTAAATGAAAGTTAAAGTGACACATGATTTCGAACCCATTTCTGTAGTTCCATTCATTAAAATACTTATATGGAAAGACTAACTGGTGTGCCCAAGCCAAACCAAAACAACAAAAATGGAGATGCAAGGGTTCGTCCCAACAGCTACAGTATGTACGACTAGCTGCCCTGTGTAGCGGCTCATTTAAAAAGCAGTCTGAACTGAAACACTCCTTATAACTTCAGCGTGAATGGGTGGAGCTAACCTGCTGTAGGCTGAATAGGTGAATATGCAAATAGGCTGGTTTTGTGACATCACAAATACAATGAACTCAGAACAGGGAGTTTTTGCAGCTTAGTATCCATATATGGACTGTAGAGCTTGACATATATATTTGGGCCTGACCACTCACATCAAGTTTGGATGTCATTCGATAGCATTGCTTGATGAATACATTTTTAAAGCAGAATGTAAACTTCATTTTTAACCCAATAACTATTGGTAACCCTGTAACTGTAACCATTGGCACCTGTGTTTTTAACTATTGATAACTGTAGCTGTGACCATTGGTGACCCTATAGCTTTAACCATTGATAACTGTAGCTGTGACCATTGGTGAACCTGTAACTGTAACCACTGGTAACTCTACAGTTGTGACCATTGGTAATCCTGTAACTGTTACTGCTGGTAACCTTGTAGCTATTACTATTGGTAACCCTGTAACATTTGGTAGCCTTGTTGGTAGCTCTGTTGTTGTAGCTATTGGTGACCATAACTGTTACCATTGGTAACTCCAGCTGTGACCATTGGTCACTGTAGTAGCATGAATTACAAAAGAAAAAGCAAATAATATAAATGTTGTTGCTGCCTTAGCTTTCAGTTTAACGGACCGGTAATCCAAGATGCTGCCCTCCATGGTGGTCAGTTTCTGGTTGCTCTACAAATACAATGACTTCAGAGTACACTTTAACACACACACTTCAAAGCACTGCTCTGGTCATCTTGCATTGCTTGATGATCACATTTTTTAAAGCAGAATTTAAACTTTATTTTTGTATGGATGATTATTTAACAGCATCATTTTTTTTATTATTTTTTTACATTTTATTTTCCATGATCTCCTCAGAGAATTATTGCGACACAATATATAGAGATAATATGTAGATAATCATAGAGAAATTATCGCTACGCAATAATTTAACTGGCACTGTTTTGAACCAAAACTTTCAGGCCTGAAGAAAGCTCTCCTGGAGGAAAATCTGATTTTCCATATTATGGAATACCTGGCCAATCCTGCGGTGAACCAGGATTGGGAAACAAATTAAGTAAAGCAGATTGATTTGTGTTTTGGCTCAGAGTTGAGTCAATGTTTACTGTCCTACTTTCTCCGTCCAGTCTGTCTCAGAGGCCAAAGCCCTCTGCTATAGTTACTACTTTAAAGGGCCTGTTCAGATATCTGGTGCCAAAGACTACCATACCAACGTCATGTATTGGAACCAGACTATTTCTTAATGTACTATCATTCAACTGTGTCAGGAACTGTTTAGGTTTTCAGCCTTGCCTCTTTGTCACTGAGCCTAGATAAATCAAATTATTACCAAATATTGGAAGAATTGACAAAAAACTTTAATGTATTACAAATATGTTGTTTTGAAAACGAACAAAAAATATAAATTCCTTTACACTGTGAATGTCCAGTAAGTCCAGTTTCAGTGAGTTTGAGGCCCAGATTTGCAAACTGCACATAAACAGAGGGAGCATTGTGAGTATCAAGGGAGTATCACATTCAATCTGCACTAATAAGTAACATATTAACAGTGTGATGCTTTCAGGAAATGTTTTGGTCACATATACACTTACTGGCCACTTTATCAGAAACCCTTTTTTTGTAGGTCCACCTTGTTGGTGGACAGTTTCTTTCTTGCTTTTCATCAATGGTCAGTTTCTGACCACATAGCCACTCCTGGCTGGATATTTTTGGCTGGTGGTCCACTCTCAACCTAGCAATGACACCAACTCAGCAAAACAGTGTCCGTGGCACTGCTACACTGAAAATGGTTCACCACCCAAATGATATCTGGCCAGTGGGGACCCTGTGGTGGTTTGTTTTCATTGATGGACAGTAAATTGTGCAACACAATAGATTGTGTGCTGTGCAAAAGTCAGAGTGCACCCTTCATCGATTTGTTTTCCAGTCAAAACAGCCATGAATCACAAATGTGTGATTTTCAGGGGATATTAGATAAGTGGGTTAAAAAAAAATGATTTGAATGAAAGCTGCAGAGAAAATGTGACTCCTAAAAACCACCTGGAAGACCTAAAACTGTCCCAACTTAATGGCTGTTTTGACTGGAAATCAATCAAACAAATCAATGAGTCTTTGACTTTTGCACAGTTCTGTATATGGTAGATGTTTCTGATAAAATGGCCAATTACTTTATTAACAAAATAGTTGGACCTGGCAACTCAGTGTAAATCTTTTAAATTATGTAAAAACTGTATAAAAGCGTTTTGAGTCTGTCTTTGTGGTCACTACATGCTTCAAAAACTGATGTGAGATAAGAGTGTCCAGAATTTGGATTGCCCTCATCCATTTCCCTCCTACCAGTCATTGTTCAAACCTCTTTTTCAGTTCAGACACTTTAATGGGGGGCACGTCTTGGTCTTCAGTTGGTGAATCGACGGGCGATTTTACGATTTGGTCCTCGCCTTTCGGGCTCAAGATCAGCCGGTTGGAAGAAGACTGGATTTTCCGAGGTCCTCTAGGGGAAGTCTTCAGAGATGTATCAGGACCTTTTGGGCTGTATCCAGGTCTGGTGGCCTCAGCAGAAACCCTGGACGGTGAGGCTTTGGATTGGAACAGAGCCACAGTTGAAAGCACATTAGGATTGGAATCCTTTTTTTCCTGCTTCTGATCTTCTTCACTTCTCTTATCTGGCTTACAGATAAGGATGTTTGGTCCAGGTTGGGATTCTACTGAAGGCTTAGTTGCTTCATGTTCCTGCTGAGGTTCTAAAGACGCCTCGGTTACTTCATGTTCCTGTTGGGGTTCTAAGGAGGCCTCAGTTACTTCATGTTCCTGTTGGGGTTCTAAGGAGGCCTCAGTTACTTCATGTTCCTCTTGGGGTTCTACAGAGGCCTCAATTGCTTCATGTTCCTGTTGAGGTTCTAAAGAGGCCTCGGTTACTTCCTTTGGAGAGTCACTGACTGGAGCGTCCAGGTCGTTCTCCTCGGGTTGTTGATTACTGTTTTCTTTTTGGTCATCGTTGCTTCCCTTTGTTCTTTCCTTTTCCCTTGTATCACCACCCTGCCCAGAGTGCTCTGCCCATTTTCCATCTTGAGCTGGCTGAAGATCGCCTAGTTCCTCTTTAAGCTCCTCCCCAAGACCATTGAGATCATCCACCAACCTTCCGAGATCCACACACAACTCCTCCCCTGATGGCCTCGCTCCAAACTCATTCCTCCCTGATTGGTCGGTAGCTGCCTCAGACCCCTCCCCCTCCATGTCAGGTCCCTCCTCAAGCCCCTCCTCCCAGCTCCTCAGACTGCCACTGTTACCGATGGAAAGGTTCAAGCTCTCCTGACTGGGCGTGGTCAAGCTTCTCTGGAAAACAATAGCAGGACGTTATAGATGATAAGCATCATAGATAAGCAAAGGTTACGTGGGCGATTGCATGTGATTATATGCAAAGTAACAGGCAACGAGGGAGAGAGAAGTGTAGTAAGAGCCTGAACTCACTCTGGTGATGAAGTCAGTGCAATCAGAGTTGAAGAGGTCCAGGCTACGTGTGCTGTACAGCAGCCCAGGCTCTCTGGAACTCTGGGCGCTCAGTGTGTCGAAAATTTCCCCCAGAAGGTCCATCTCCTCTGGGTCAGGCAGCACAGACAGGTCGGGGTCATCTTGGAGGTCACCAGCGCTGGAGCCCGACTCTATTTGACTGCACACAAACATTTAAAGGATCCGCTTTAAAGTCCACTTGTACAGTTTGGTGAGTTTATAACAAAAGCAGTCATAGTTCAGTTTTGCATAACCATTTGTTTATCCTTTAATCAAACGTTTTACCTCAAGAGGGTTCCTTTCCAGTTTTTTGAGAACTTGACCCTCACCCCTTAACAAACCAAACTTTTAAATTAAGAGACCCTTATTAGTCCCACAATGGGGAAATTTCACCTCTGCATTTTAACCCTTCCATGCAGTGATACACTAGTGAACAAACACACTAGGGGGCAGTGGACAGCCCTATCCACAGGACCCAGGGAGCAGTTGGGGGTTGGGTGCTTTGCTCAAGGGCACCTCAGTCTTGTACTGTCGGCTCAGGGGATTGAACCTGCAACCTTCAGGTCACAAGGCTGGTTCCCTAACCTCCAGTCCATGACTGCCTACAGCCCTTTACACACAACAAACTACTGCACATTTAAATGCACAATTACTGTTTATTTGCTGAATTTAACATATTGTTAACAAAGAAAACATAAAATGTACCCATGCAAAAGTTACGGCACATTTTAGATTTGACATTTAATTTTTCCAATATGTCAAACACAAGGCCCGCGGGCCAGATCAGGCCCACGACGCAAACCTATCCAGCCCACAAAATATTTGAATTTTCTTTTAATATTAGCTCATTTCAAAATGCACTTCACTACAGTCTCCAGCATGCACTGCAACGTAAAGTGTGCTCTGACTCCCCTACCCCAACAGCAATGTATGGGACGGCGGTTACACCTCAGTTCTACACAATTCTACACCGTTCCACACCAGTCATATCTTCAAACACACTAACTGCATTTCAGCTGCAGTTCAATCACCATAAACACTTAACATTACTCAGCAGCTCAGAAACTGAGCCCAGGTATTAATAAACTTGCAGAAAAGAAAAGATGGCAGGTGTCTAGTTCAGGCAAATAGGCAGGTTTAAAAGACCGAGCTCCTGGAGACATTTAACCTCTGAATATCCATGTAATATTTCGAGGTCTACTACAAGTGCCTGTATTTTACTGCTGAAGTTTTTGCATATTTTGAATAAACAACGGCCAGTTCGGGTACAACTTTAGCACAACGTTACTTAAAAATGAAATAAAAACATTTTTTCTCTGGCCCACAGATTTGCTGATATCTTTTAATATGGCCCCTTTAGTGGTTGAGTTTGACATCCCTGTGTTAAACTCAGCAATTAAATACAAATTGTGCACTAAAACTCTCAGAAAAATGTCATATATAAGGTTGTTCTATATAGAGGATGTGTTAACATTTTCCCTTTTAATTTGACCAGGTGTGCTCAGACTATTGCATACCACTGCATGCAAAGTACAACAGCATATAAACAACCAGTCCAAGTCATCCAATTTGTCTGGGGCTTTTATTGCGCGTGGTTGTCCAATTCAGAAGAGTAGTTAAGTCTTCTGTTGGTGTAGTGTAGTGGGTAACACCTCTGCCTTTTACACTGTAGACTGGAGTTCAATCCCCGCCTGGATAAGCACCCTACACTATACCAATAAGAGTCCTTGGGCAAGACCCCTAACACTAAATTCGCCTACCTGTGTAAAATGGTAAGTCACCCTGGATAAGAGTGTCTGCCAAAATGCCATATATGAACTGACTTGTTGCCGCGTGAGAAACAAATAATAGCAATACAAAAACAAGCTTATGATGAACGTGTAAACTGCACTGTGATTACTATGTGAGCTGTCCATCTCTCACCTCTCCTCTCCATAACTGCTGTTGTCTTGTGGCGGCTCCTCCATCTGCGGGCTGGCGTTCTTGCGTGTAGGCCTCCGCGGCCGGGACTGGAAACACCATAAACGAGGTGTAAATCACAGTCACATAAGTCCATAACATCACCCCTGCTCAGTTGATCATTGATTGTTCATTTTATCAGCTCCACTTACTATATAGGTGCACTTACAGACTGTTCCATCTGTTTCTCTGCATACTTTGTTAGCCCCCTTTTACCCTGTTCTTCAGTGGTCAGGACCCCCATGGACCCTCACAGAGCAGGTACTATTTGGGAGGTGGATCATTCTCAGCACTGCTGTAACACTGACGTGGTGGTGGTGTGTTAGTGTGTGTTGCGCTGGTCTGAGTGGATCAGACACAGCAGTGCTGCTGGAGTTTTAAACACCTCAGTGTCACTGCTGGACTGAAAATAGTCCACCGACCATAAATATCCAGCCAACAGCGTCCTGTGACCACTGATGAAGGACAAGAGGATGACTAACACAAACTGTGCAGCAGCAGATGAGCTATCGTCTCTGATTTTACATCTACAAGGTGGACCAACAATGTAGGAGTGTCTAATAGAGTGGACAGTGAGTGGACACAGCTACACCTGTCTTATTAATATTTTTGGGGCTTTAAGTTAAAAAATATCATATTTCATCTGTACATGGCCAACCTCTCTTTACTGTGCCTTTAAGACTGATGTATCTAAATAAGCTCTGTTCTGATTGGCTCTCCTGCATTGTGCCTCATTCAAAAAAGTAGTCTGAGCTGTAACTTCAGTGTGAGTGGGTGGAGCTAAACTGCTGTAGACTGAATAGGATGTGTGTAAATGTGTTGTTTTATGACATCACAAAAACACCAGTATCCATATATGGATGTTACCAGTATCAATATATGGACTGTATAGACTGAATGATCATAATTAATGTTATTGATTATGTTATTATTTATAGTAATACCAGATGTTATTATTACTAATATTATGATAGCAAAAACACATTATTATTATTATTATTATTATTATTATTATCAGAGCATGGCCTATATACATTTAGAACTGCTGATTTCAGACTGTGTTTAATCTGCATTCCTGTGGACATTTAACTGAATCACATGCTGTGTTGAAGACAGTGACCCCTACTGGCCAGTCCTCCTTTCCTGCAGTCAGTAACAGTCTGTACTCCTGGCTGAGTGGCCCAGTGTTTACTTTACAGATATACTGGACACAAATTTATTTATACATGCTATTTGTCAGACCACATGTGTGAATTATGATCAATTATAAATTTCAGAATCCAATAAAAAGCACTGTTAATATTTCCCAAAGCATTTAAAGGAGTGGTTCAGCAAACAATACATTTCCACAGTTTGGATGCACAGCAAAAATGATACCTATTCAAGATGAAAACATGCCTATATATCCAATATTTCTCATTATGAGATGGTTTTAAAGTATTACAAGATTATTCATCCTATTTCTACACATTTTTACTTACGTTATGTTTTGTTTATGTAAGAAAATGATAAAATATAATACAAAATGATCTGCCAATGGAAGATGAGCCATGTCTCAAAGCTAAGGATGCAGATGAAGGAGGCTGTGTTTCTTGGCGGTCATGCTTTGTAGGAGCCGATAAGTTCACCTTTTATTTCTGAGAAACTGAAGGACTCAAATGGTATCCAGGATTAGATTTGGGGGTGGGAAGGGTTTTGGGGTGGGAGGGGATTGGGGGTAGGGGTGCAAAGGGATGCTACCCTCACAGAAAAAAAACACCTGCTCTACTCTTTCTAGCCTAGTGGTAGAAGAGGTGAGCCATCAACTGTAAGGTTGTGGGTTCAAATCCCATTTCTGATTAGGTATATCTGACTGTGTTCTGGGCAACCTGCCACTCCCCCAGGTGGTACTCCCAGATCGGCAAAATGACAAATTTCCCTCGTACCAATCATGTTCCTGGACAAATAAAGTATATAACCTTACTACTATCTTCTTCCAATCCATATGTGAGATCATCGCTCTGGAAGGTTTCATTCACAATCTCAATCTCAATCTCAAACGTGAAACATGGTGAGATGCTGCGGCTCCAGACTTTGTGCTGAAATGTACGTTTTGATTGAGCGTTTTCAAACGTAAGATCTAAACGCTTACATCAGGCAGCGGTGATGTGTTGGTGGTCTGCTCAGGTGGTCTTGAATGTGTGTGAGTGAACACTGAAGAGGAGCCTTCACGGTCCAGTGCTAAGAAGGCCTCCACTACTTCAGCTGCAGCCTTCACTTTGAGACATGCCTACTTTTGCACCAATATGATTATGCTATAATTTATAATAATAAATGTGCATAGAAACAAAAGATTTGAGCTGTGTGGGAGGAGTCACCTTCCCGAAGTGCTGTGTGATTGGTATTCGGTTCTGAAGGCAATCTGATTGGATGAGGCGATATGTATGTGTGCCACATACGGATCCGCCCCTCTGGAGAGAGTCCTTCTGCTCCTGCAAGAATGGATATGTATTAATAATATGCTCCATATATATATATATATATATATATATGTCCTGTTTTACACTCTTAAACAAGATAGTTCTTCAAGGGTTCTTAGCAAAGAAAATAGTTCTATATAGAACCATGAACACTTAAAGAACCCTTTGCATTCTATAATTTAAAGAGCTAAAAGGTTCTTTTGCATTGTGAAAGTGTTCTTGAGATTGATGGAGTGTGTAGATGGTTCTAGCAATAGAAGAACCCTTTTTGGTGCCATATAGAACTATTTACAGCACATTCTCCATCAATCTAAAGAACCCACTCACAATGCAAAGAACCTTTTAATTCTTTAAATTAAAGAATGCAAAAGGTTCTTTCAGTGTTGTTCATGGTTCTATATAGAACTATTTTCTTTGCAAGGAACGCTTTCATGATTGAAAGGGTTCTTTGAGTGCTCATGTTTGTATATAGAACCATTTTCTTTATTAACAACCCTTTGATGATGGAAAGGGTTCTTTGAGTGTTCATGGTTCTACACAGAACCATTTTCCTTCCTCAAGAATCTTTGAAGAACCATCTTTTTTAGATTGTGAAGACTAGACCTGATATTTAAGACATTTTCACCAAAAAAAAACAAAAAAAACATGAACGTTCACCTTTGATGAAATAAGGTTCTTCAGTCCAAGCTTGCTCTGATGTGTGACCTGAAACACAGCAGAACCTTAGACATCTAATCAAAAAGAGTCTCATGAAAAGAGTTTTAACACTATTTGATGGATTTGTTTGTCGTGTGTGCATTAAAACACCACCCACAGTTTTGCACATTTGAGCCTTGGACTTCATGGTCAGGAGCAGAGCACCTCCTCCTTTCTGTAAAACATTGAAAACATCATCATAACATCATCATAACATACATTTAGGACCTAACTTGATATATCCATGCTCTGCCCACAAACGTGTCTCATTCATAGCTAATGTGAGGTTGTAGAAGCTTTGCAGAGCACTGGTAAACAGTCCTATTCAACCTAATGAGAAACTATAGAACAGACTCGGTTTATATCACAATACCTACATTTAGAGTCGGTTATTCATTCAACCTAATGAGAAACTGTAGAACAGACTCAGTTTATATCACAATACCTACATTTAGAGTCGGTTATTCACTCAACCTAATGAGAAACTGTAGAACAGACTCAGTTTATATCACAATACCTACATTTAGAGTCGGTTATTCATTCAGCCTAATGAGAAACTGTAGAACAGACTCGGTTTATATCACAATACCTACATTTAGAGTCGGTTATTCATTCAGCCTAATGAGAAACTGTAGAACAGACTCGGTTTATATCACAATACCTCCATTTAGAGTCGGTTATTCATTCAGCCTAATGAGAAACTGTAGAACCGACTCAGTTTATATCACAATACCTACATTTAGAGTCAGTTATTCATTCAGCCTAATGAGAAACTGTAGAACAGACTCAGTTTATATCACAATACCTACATTTAGAGTCAGTTATTCATTCAGCCTAATGAGAAACTGTAGAACAGACTCAGTTTATATCACAATACCTACATTTAGAGTCAGTTATTCATTCAACCTAATGAGAAACTGTAGAACAGACACAGTTTATATCACAATACCTACATTTAGAGTCAGTTATTCATTCAACCTAATGAGAAACTGTAGAACAGACTCAGTTTATATCACAATACCTACATTTAGAGTCGGTTATTCATTCAGCCTAATGAGAAACTGTAGAACAGACTCAGTTTATATCACAATACCTACATTTATAATCCGTGATTCATTTCAAATGACATTAATTTTGCATTTTTGTGAAAAGTCACACTGTTAGGATAAATCAGATGTAGTTTTTGCTGTTAAAATAAGGTTAAACATCTGACTCATGGTCTATGAACAAAAACAACTGACTGATGGTCTACACAGGAAGTTCACTGGCTTTTGATGCTTTAGCATTGCTAGCTAGCTAAGTAAACAGTCTACACCAGTATTTCTCAACCCTCATCCTGGAGCCCCACTGCCCTTCACTTTTTAGTGTTTTCTCTGCTCCCAAAACACTTGATCCAGCTAATCAGCTCATTACCAGTCCATTACTGAGATAAAGTGGCTGTGTTAAAGCAGGAAAAGCACTAACATGCTGAGCAGCACCAGATCTGAAAAAAAAAAACACTGCTCTACAACCTCTGGCTACTGTAGTATGGCTGAAGTTACTCTAAAAGATTATCCAGCTATGCTGTGCCAAGTATACCAATATTACAACAAGAAATGGACATCAGAAAAGTGTAACATCAGTAAAGTCCAGCTACTCGTTCACAGAATCAGAGAGAGATAAATACAGTCGGAAATCTTTAGATCCCAACAAAAAACTGATAAGCCATACAAAGCTTTAAAGTTAAGAGATGATTCAGTCACGGATGTTTGCTATACCTGTAATGCAGAGTGAGATAGAACAAAAACCACACCTGACCTTTCCTAACAGTGAGACTTTTCAAACACATACAAACAAATATTATCTGAAAAGAATAACTGACTCTAAATGGAGGTATTGTGATATAAACTGAGTCTGTTCTACAGTTTCTCATTAGGTTGAATGAATAACCGACTCTAAATGGAGGTATTGTGATATAAACTGAGTCTGTTCTACAGTTTCTCATTAGGCTGAATGAATAACCGACTCTAAATGTAGGTATTGTGATATAAACCGAGTCTGTTCTACAGTTTCTCATTAGGCTGAATGAATAACCGACTCTAAATGTAGGTATTGTGATATAAACCGAGTCTGTTCTACAGTTTCTCATTAGGTTGAATGAATAACCGACTCTAAATGTAGGTATTGTGATATAAACTGAGTCTGTTCTACAGTTTCTCATTAGGCTGAATGAATAACCGACTCTAAATGTAGGTATTGTGATATAAACTGAGTCTGTTCTACAGTTTCTCATTAGGTTGAAAGGATTTTGTAACAGCATTCTGTAATGTGCAAAAGAAGGTGGAGCAAATACAGGTCAACTGAAAATCAGAAAAAAATATTAAAAATGTTTTTTTTGTTGTTTTTTTTTAATAACAGTCAGTTATGATCACATGATCCCATTAGTTGACAGCAACAATTGTTTACTCTAAGCTGCTGCTTACTTCAACCATACTTTAATGAATCCAAAAACAGATAAATGGATAAATACATTATTACTTTGTTGCATATCAACACACCACCTGTGCTGGAACTACTTGTTGGTGGAGGAAGAAATGGCCAATATGAATCCATAAGAAATCAGTTTTTGGCTTCTTTGCTTCACTTTTTTGACTAGTTTGTGAAATTGTTGTGTAAAAGTAATAGAGCATTTGAGATGGTTTGTTACTGTGAATAGCATTGTGACTGTGATGATGTACAGCAACCAAATCACAGGCATGATTTCACCATAACAAACAATAACGAGTGTCCTATAGCTTAAATCACTTTAACACCTGCTGGTTGCAGTTACAGTAAAAAGCTATTTTAGTTTTTTTTAATGTATAACGGTTTATTGATATCAGATATTCAATTTTAGCAAGTAAAATGATGTTAATACTAGTAGAAACTTGAATTTTACATTTACACATTTTTTGTTTTCCATGTTAAAAATACTTAACATAATTTACATTTACCATGTAAGATCTCAGTTCTCTGTAGTCAGAGCTCATGGCTTTTCCCAGTTCGTTTTAATGTGAGGAAAATCTTTACTACTATTAAATTTTAACATGTGGTAACAAGTATTAAATGTTAACATGAAGAAATTCTTCTTTCCACATGTTACTGTGTAACATAAAACATAAAACTGACCTTAAGGTTGCCCACCAACTGCTGGTACGATTTGGAGCCGCCTATTACAGGAACAAATAACAAAAAACTAAATATTTAAAATTGAATCAGTGAATTATGTACAAATGTATACATTTACATTTACATTTAACACATTCAATCACACACACACACCTGATGATGCTCCACACTGCAGTATTTCTTCCTCAAACAGATCGTCTGGTTCTTTGCCCTGGTTCAGCATCTCCAGACGCCCATCAATAAACTGGAAACATTCAGACACACATACAATATTATGGTGGTAATTACGTATAGCCTAATGAACCTCAATATTGTTATTGTAAAAATAATATAATACACACACACACACACACACACACACACATACACAATTATCTAAGCCGCTTATCCTTCTGGGATGCGGAGGGGTGTGCTGGAGCCTATCCCAGCAGTCATTGGGCAGAAAAACGAAATACCCTGGACAGGTCGCCAGTCCATCACAGGGCTAATATAATATAATATAATATAATATAATATAATATAACAATATGCTATATTTAATATTTTTAACATTTAAAAAGGTGTCATTTTGTATTGTCAATTTAGCTGTTATGTTATGTTATCTACTTTTATTTATAGGAATTCATTGTTTTCATTATTTTAATATTAATTATCCAATGGTAATATTTAAAAAAAACTACCTCCATAGTATTATTATTATTATTATTATTATTATTATTATTACAACAACAACAACAACATACTACAATACTACATATAATATAATAATAATAATAATAATAAACTAATATATCATTATCATGGCTATAAAACCAGGTAGAGAATTATTATATTATATTATATTATATTATATTATATTATATTATATTATATTGTGTAATACATTGTAACATGTAATCTTTTTAATATGTAATCTACAATATTATACATTACCCATTAAACACTAATATTTTGATATTTTTCATATTCACATAGATATAGAGATATGAGAGAGACATTTGAGCACATTCAAAATAAAACAGTTGAACACTGGGTGGCAGTGTGGAGGCATTACATTCCCATCCAGCCAGAGAACCCAGTGCTCACCTGTTATGGACTATAACTGTCCTGGTCAGAGCTAAATGACCTCAAAATGACAGGAGAACCCTTAAAGGGCCCACATTACGGAAAAGCATTTCATTATAAATAATTAAGTTTGATGTAGAATGTAAACATTGCTACAGATTCAAAAAGTTCCATTTACTCTACAGTCAATTAAGGAAAACTAAGCAAAAAAACAGCCTGTTTTGAAAGCATTGTTTTTGTGATGTCACAGAAAACGAGGTGTGTATATATATTGACCTATAGTGATTTAGCTGCACCCGTTCACAGTGTGGAGTGTATTAGGGCTGGGCTCCTTTTTGAGTGAGGCATAATACAGAACAGAGCTCATTTACATTTATCAGCCCTAAAGTTTAGTGGAGGTTTCCACAACTTTCAGAACTTTTGCAAGCCTATTATAGTATAAAATCCAGATCTATCACTCACTTAACCCTTGATAAAATGTGCTATCTAACCTGTTATGTTGCAAAAATAAAGATGCTGAACATCTACATGTATAGCAATAGGCATAATAATAGTAAACCTCACTTAATCTCAACTTCTTTATGATTAATTGGTTTAATTACGAGTCAATGTGGACAGTCATAACAAGAACGGCAAGTGGAGTGTTCACACCTGTCAAAACAACCAATCTAAAGAAAACATTCTATTGGTCCACACCAAACAAGGCCCCTTTGAGAGATCAAAAAATGGTCTTATAAAAATTAATTATGGTACATAAAACCACACAAACATCATAAACGTACGACGCCCTGCTGGTGACATTCTATATAAATAAAACTAACTTGGCCACGACTTAGTAAGGTGTGGGAATGAGATAATTGAGTCATGGCCACGACTTAGTAAGACGTGGGAAGGAGATCATGCCTTACTAAGCTGTGGTCAAGACTTAATTATCTCAACTTAATTATCTAAGTTGTGGCCACACATTACGATCTCATTCCCATGCCTTACTAAGTCGTGGCCATGCATTAGGATCTCATTCCCACATCTTACTAAGTTGTGACCACACATTAGAATCTCATTCCCATGCCTTACTAAGTCGTGGCCACATATTAGGCTCTCGTTCGCACACCTTACTAAGTCATGGCTACACGTTATTTTTATTTATACGGGATGTCACCAGCAGGGCTGTGTGTACGAGTCGAGTCAAGTCAAGTCAAGAGGCTTTTAGTGTCATTCTATCTATGTACAAGTACACAGTGGAGCGAAATTACGTTCCTCCAGGAACAACAAGGTGCAACAAGGAACAAAAGTACAAAGTGCGAACGTGCAAACAAAAAATAAGCCAGAAAACAATACAATAAATACGATAAATTAAACAGACATTAGACACAGTAAACAGACCGGACGCAGCACAGATTTCTGGACATGAGGTAGTGGAATAAGGTGCAGACATATGTAACTTTCTGTGATCTGTAAGTTACGTCAGATAACATACATAACATACATAAACACAGCAGTTAATGGACCTTAGTGGGGGAAAAAAATAAATATAAATGTGGCCCTTTTTGGTTCTAACAAGGTGGGGACATTTTATTGGTCCCTGTATGGACACTGGAGGTCATGCTGTCAGTAGCAATACCAACTTTGGACACCAGAGGTCTTTCCTTGAATTCTAGGCTGTCATTCCCCTTTCACTGATTACCTCTCCTACAAATACCCCCTCCAAACCTCTCTCCTTTGTGAAGCATTGCCAGTTGTTTTCTCCTATCAGTCCTTAGCCTTCTACTTTTTGTCTTATACGTTTGTGATGGCTTTTTGCCCTATTGCTTGTTTGCCTGGGTTTTTGTCTCTTTGGACAATGTTTTTTGGACTCTTTTGATTGCAATGTTTTGGATTATCTGGTGTCTGACCCCTGCATGTTTTTGGATCATTGAACTTTGTATTAAACCTGTAAATGGATCCGTCCAACTAATCTACACCTCCTACATCACACATGCTCATGTCTAAGTTCAGAAACAGCTGCACCTACCTGCTTGAAAAACTGCAGGTGAACGGCACTCTCGAGGAACTGCTTCATGCTTTGAGACTTGTGGGTGAGGAACAGGTCTTCACTGAATGCCACGGGTCCTCCCTACAGAGAGAGGCAGATTTGCATTGACGAAAATGGGATACTGTTGTTTGTCATGGGTCATAAAACCACTTAACGTCACTAATTTAAGGTGGGTCCTCATATTTGAAAAGGTCTGATCAGGCTCTTCAACCGGAATGCAAACATTACTGTTGTTGATGTTATGATGCCTCCTGCAGGGTGGGAATATTAATACGGGGCTAAAAAAGGTCAAATAATATGAATAAGGATAAAATAAGCATGCTGTGTTCTCTGTTTAAGTCTTTTGTGCTGGACACATAATCCTGGACAGAACACTTATTTGCTCCACAATGTGTATAAGAGAAAGCAAAAACAGCTCTGGGCTCAACACTAAGAACCTTGGAGAACCTAAGACACAAAGACTTGTCCAAACAGTCAAGCAAAGCTCTTTTATCAGAGTATCATTGAGGCATATTGGGACATGCTACAGTTAGCCATACTACAAGCCTAGGACTAGTTTGACAACACTGACACAGAAATTGAACAAGTCATTGCCAAAAAAGGTCTATGCTTGGCAAAGTGACATTGATTGATGGGCAAAAATAGATGCATATTCCAGAGCCAAGAGCCAAGGCAGATGCAACATCATGCTGACTCAGAGGTTTCTTAAACACCATAAAGGTACTACCACAGATCAAACTTTCTTTGGTCTCCTGATGGAAAAGTCTCCTGAAGACTGATGATGGGATTATCGTATAGCATCAAAAAGGAGACAAGGCTGACTCTGGGAACTATAGAGTTGTATCCCCCTTGTCCATCAACGGTAAGGAAATTCCATACATTTCCCAGAATAGTTACAACCTCCAAACAGATGTTATCTTCACTCCAAATCAGTTGCAGGACAAACGCAAGGAGCAGAGATAATCACTATACAGCGTGGACATTCTCCTTCAGGATTTTCTGATAGAGAGCAGAATTCATGGTTCCATCAATTACAACAAGTTGTCCAGGTCCTGCAGAAGCAAAGCAGCCGCAGACCACACTACCACCACCATGTTTCACTGTTGGTGTGGTGTTCTAATGGTGGAATGCGGTGTTAGCTTTATGCCAGATGTAACGGCACCCATGTCTACCAAAAAGGTCCACCGTTGACTCATCAGTTCACAGAATATTATCTCAAAAGTCTTGGGGGTAATCTAGATGTTTTTTGGCAAATTTAGACTGACCACATAGAGCAAAGTCTGCCTTTGGGAATGTGTCCCTCAAAGCAGATATTGGAAACTATGTGCCAGCAGACACCTGGAGGTCAAAAGAATCATGCAAGGATACCTAGACGGAGGACCGTGCAAGGGGAATAGGGGAAGTGTCTGAAGGAGCCACACTCCTTGAAGATTTTGGAGAGGTTCCGTATGTCAAACAAAAAAACAGAAAGGAAAATGTACCATCATGAAAGCCATGGTGCGGCCAGTGCCACCCCAGACCCCCCAGACACACCACTACAAGAAGGTCTCTAAATGCATAGCCACAGAAAGGAACCCTCACTGTAGTTGCTGTTTATGATGATATTAGAGGGACAGTGTGCAATAACTCACAGTAGAGTACACTAAGGCGTCTCTATAGCCTCCGAACAGCAGAGCCTGAGCTCTGAGAAACGCTCGAGCCACACCAGCACCTGGAGACGCCGCCTGACGCTTCAGACGCACTTTCAGAGCTGTGACCTGCAAACAGACACACAAACACGCAACCACAAAGACGCACACACACCCAAAACAACACACAAACACCACGCACACACCCACAGAAACGTCTTTAGCATAAAGATGTTCAAACCACAGAGTCAACCACATTCGTATATACATGAGAAGAAGTTCTAGTGACCTGAAGCACTCGTCTCCAAACGCTGGTGTTTCATATTATTAATAGAGTTGACTGGTGGAGAATTAACGAAAGGAATTAATGGATCATTAATAGAAGTTGTTGGTGGTGAATTATTGGCAGAGAATGGTGGATAATTAGCAGAAGTGACTGATGGGCTATAAATTGGATTATAAATTCAACTGGATAATTATTGTGAGTAATTGTTTGATGATTAATAAATGAGATTGGTGGATGATTAATAGATGTGACTGACAGATAATTAACAGGAGAGTTTGACGGATTATTAATGGGACTGATTGGTGGATAATTATTAGGGGTGATTGGTGGATGATTAACAGGAGGGATTGATAGATAATAAACAGGAGTGAGTGATTGATAGATAATTAACAGGGGTGATTTATGAATAATTATTTAGAGATATTGGTAGATAATTAACAGGAGTGATTGATGGATAATGCATCGGAGGAACTGGGGGATTATTAACAGAACTGATTGATGGACAATTAATCAGAGGGATTGATGGATAATTAACAAAACTGATTGATAATTAATGAGAGGGATGGAATGGATAATTAATTGGATAGATTGATGGATTATTAACAGGACTGACTGATGGATAATTAATTGGGGGATCGATTGATTATTAACAGAACTGACTGATGGATAATTAATCAAAGGGATTGATGGATAATTAATTGGAGGAATTGATGGATTAATAAAAGAAGTGACTGATGTATAAATAATATACTTGATTGATGGATTATTAATGGGACTGATTGGTGGATGATTAACAGGAGTGTTGATGGATAATTCATCGGAGGGATTGGTGGATTATTAACAGAACTGATTGATGGACAATTAATCAGAGGGATTGATGGATAATTAATTGGAGGGACTGATGGATTCATAAAAGAAGTGACTGATGTATAAATAATATACTTGATTGATGGATTATTAATTGGTGTGGTTAATAGAAGTGACGTGCAATAAATACATATGATTGGTGGATTATTAACAGAAGTGATTGATGCATTACCACATCTGATGGGAGCTTCTTCAGGTCATCGTGAGGAGACTCCATAGTGTTGGTGTCCACGTTCAGAATGACCACGTCCTCCAGAGCAGGACTCCTCACTCTCTGATAAAACAATGCACACAAATACACGCAGCTCACACCACCGCGCGGAACGGGGTCATGCCACATTGTTTGTGTGTGTGTGTGTGTGTGTGTGTGTGTGTGTGTGTGTGTATTCCAGATGTATTTCAAAGACTTTTAGTATGGAGGCCATCTGAGTTGCTACAGAGATTCAATCAAACTGCCTTTTTTTCTGTTTTAATAATCATGCACATGTATATATACTATTCATTATTTCAAAGTTAGTCTTGATTCCTACAATATAAGGAGACAGGGAGTCTGTGCATAAGAAAAAGCATGAGAGAGAGAGAGAGAAAGCAGAAGAGACAAGGAGAGAGAGAGAGAGAGAGAGAGAGAGAGAGAGAGATTTACTAGTAATAGACTGTACATGAGTACCTCTATTAGACTGGAATGAACTCCGATAAGGTACGGCATCGGAGCACTGCAGAACACAGAACCATATATTTAGAGGTGTACAGTACATCAGGGGTCGATATAAATTATTTGCTGTTATCAATCTGACATTGAAATTCCAGCGTTTAAGTTCACCTGAAAATTTAACGTGTAATAATCCTGTAAGAATCTGTCTGATTTAGCTGTCATGGTTCCGTAAAGGTAATTAATGATCCATCTTTAGACACTAATTACTGGCTGGAGCTCAAAGAAAGATTACATTAAATTACGTTAAAAAGTAAAAACTGCAGATTTTATGCATTAATGAAGAAAAATCTCAGCAAGGACACTTCAGAACAGCCCTACTGGTTCTCACCAGCAGTAGTCGAGGAGGTGTGGAGGCAGGACAGGTATGAAGATGTGTTGCCAGTACATGGGGAAGAGCATGCTGCAACACGCATGTACACACGCCGTCAGCTGCAGGAAGAGAACAGAATATATAACAGCTCGAGATATTTAACATCACTGGCAGCAGCTTCTCTAGGCTGGCATTCCTACCACATTACCGTATTCCAGTTCTGATAAATGTCCTAAATCAGGGGTCTCAGACTCAAATCTTATCCGTGAGGGACAGCAGTTAACAAAATGCAGGTGAATTTTAGCTACACAACATATGGTAACACTTTCTTTGAAGGGTGTCTACATAACACATTCATATCACCTTACATAAACACTTCATAACATGTTCATGAATGCTTAAATCAACATTCATAAACTATACATGTTTTACATGATATTAATATGGACTACTATGTCATTTTACTGAAAGATGTTTTTCAAAATAAAAGTCCTCATTTTGTTTATTATTTTCAGTGAAACTCCTCTTTTCTGGACTGTCAGCATAAAATGCATGTCACTTTACTATAAGGTATATTAACAGCTCCTTAAAATGCTATGAATCACTTATGAATGTTGTCTTGCATGTCACTTTACTATATGGACAGTGAATTACTCATAAATATGCTATGAACAGTCAATCAACTTAAAGTCTCAAACTTTGTGTGGTGGTGGGACAGGTCCATAATACTTATCCATTCCATTCAAGATCCATCCCTTCATGTAACATGTACTTTAGTGAGGATAACGTGACTTCCATCACTTTTATGGTGAAGGCAAAGCAAGGCAAATTTATAAAGAACATTTCTAACAAAATTATCAGCACCCTGAGTGAGGAAAGTCAAAGAGCCACCACTCGATTGTACTTTGAAGTAATGCCAAAAAAGGAATCATTCCGTGTGATAACATTGCTTGTCACATTTAACCTCAGTTACACAAGATAACTAATGCACAGTTATACAAAACCGTAAGTGAGGAAGAACATCACTAAAAATAAAACCTCCAAAGTAATTGGGATAACAGTGTTAGCATTTACCCCAAGAAAGTTAAACTTAGTTTAAGTAACATTTTCCACAATAATGTATAGAGTGTTGAATGAACAGTACATTTTATATATGAATAATTAGTGTAAAAAGCAGAAAGAATAGCATATTGCAAAATACAAATGCTTGAGAAAAAAATGAAAAAAAAAAGTTGAAAGTCTAGACAAAAAGTGTCAAAACACTTTCTGTCCAAAGGGATAAAGCCAGGTCATTTTATGCTGACAGTCCAGAAAAGAGGAGTTTCACTGAAAAAAAATAAATAAAATGAGGACTTTTATTTTGAAAAACATCTTTCAGTAAAATGACATAGTAGTCCATATTAATATCATGTAAAACATGTATAGTTTATATATGTTGATTTAAGCATTCATGAACATGTTATGAAGTGTTTATGTAAGGTGATATGAATGTGTTATGTAGACACCCTTCAAAGAAAGTGTTACCCAACATAAACATTTAAATGCATCTTAATCTGTATTTATTAACAATTCATGTCAAACTACTACCACACTATCAAAAAAGATGGTTCTTTAAGAGTTCTTTAGTAAAGAAAATGGTTCTCTGCATCATGAAAGCATTTTTTAGATTGACGGAAAATGGTCTACATAGAACCTTTTTGAAAAGTGTTCTGTTTAGCACCCAAAGGGGTTCTTCTATTGTTATAAGCTTGACACCATAACAATAGAGGAACTCTTTGGGTGCTATATGGAACCCTTTTCAAAAAGTTTTATATATAGAACTAACTACAGCATATTCTCCATCAGTCTGAAGAGCCATTTCATGATGCTTCACACTATAACAATAGAAAAACTCTTTAGGTGCTATATGGAACCATTTTCAAAAAAGGTTCTATATAGAACCATCTACAGCACATTCTCCATAAGTCTGTAGAACCATTTCATGATGCAAAGAACCCTTTAATCATGCTAAGGTTTCTTCTTAATTCCAAATTCAAGCTGCCGTTTCAATGCAAAAAGACGCCCTCTAGAGTCAGTATTTGGTTTGCCCATTCTTTGCTACTGTAGAAACATTGATTTATTTGCATTTATATTCACTCCAGCTGGTTTCCTGATACATTTAATCTACAACGAGAAATTGACAAACGCTGAAAAGTCGTGAGGCTGAAGTCAGTTTCTCATTCACCAGCTTCTTATTCGACTTTTCCCATTTCACCTTAAGTAGTGCAGCGGTTCAGAAAATTCAAACAAGAAGCTGGAGAATGCGAAGCGACTTCAGCCTCGTAAAAAGTCAAACATTGAGAGACATTTTACAAGAAACTATTCTACTTTTGAGGAAAGGTTTCCTGCTAGAGATGTGAAAAAAACAGCTATAGCTGAGCTACAGCTTAAAGCAGAGCAAAGTAAGTCTGCGTTTTCTTTTATATTATATTTTTTAGCCTACACTAGAACATCAGCACATACTGAGACACATTTACAGCCAAGATGGTAAAATGGACATAAAATGTTGTGGTTTCATTTTTGTTGAAAGGACAAAATGGCTCTTCTTAACATTTGGGTTGCGACCCCTGTTCTAAGCTAACGAAAACACAAAAATTCATAATTACAGGTGATTATACACTTTTTTTAGAAACGATCTTGTATAGCAGGGGTTCTCAAGGCCCTCCGGTTTATCACTAGAAAGAAGGAAAGCCCACAGAGAACAAAACTCAACGATTTTGCATAAAATGTCATTTTGGGGAATTTTTCACTACAGTGATAAGTGGGGGCCTTCTCTTGTAATAAGTGGTGTGTATCAGTAAACTTAAAATATCATCAGAATATTGGAGTGAGTGGACAGTTGACAGGTCATGTGTTTCTAAAGTCAAAGCGGCAAAAAAGTCTGAAGTCTACAGGCAAAAAAATTGAAGAAGTTGCCTTTGCACACTGTTATTGTGGGGCATGTATTAATGTTGTTAACTGTCTGAAAACATTTTTTTATTGTAAGTCAACTATCTATTCATTGATTTTTATGACAAATTGTCATCACAGGCCCACTACAGACCATTGGCCCCCCCGCCTCGGGATAGGTCCAAGGACCACCAAGGGGTGCTTCGCAGCCCAATTGTGGTCCTCGGCCCAGTGGTTGAGAAACCCCGTTTTATACTATGTTCCATTTCTGGTAATAGATCCCTTAAATCTTACATACAGCACCTTTAACTTTAGTATTATAACCTCTTAAAATCCTCCAGAAGATTTTAGCTTCCATTTATCACTTTTACACCTTAGGAATAACTGATAAGCTTTAGGATGTAAAAGGCCCTGGAATTTAAGGGGTCAAGCACACTGAAAAAGTCTATTGAATTTACCTTAATCAAATGTCTACATCATTTCTGCGAGCATAAAATCTATAAATACATTCAATTTCAGTACATTTCTTGCCAAATCACAGCAGTTATGTTTGTAACAGCTTTTATTTCACCTGCAACCAATTGACACGTTTACTAATTACTAAAAAGAGGCTGGGCCGAGCCCCCCTTAAGGACAACCTTCAGTCTATAGTAGGCTCTGAATTTCGCCCCACTTCCCCATGTTACATTCACATTATGAGGTGTTTCCTCAGGACTGGAGGAAGTTCCAGCGGGTGTGAATTCATATCAGTTTCATATCAGTTTTACCAAGTTCACGCTAACTCTCAGTGTGTGTATCTGACATCCAGTTACCACATACAAAGACAGCTCAACACTAAGCTAACCTTGCTAACCCAGCTAATCAGTCCATGTGCAATATACAGGCACATGCAAAAGTCTGAACACCCCTGGTCAAATGAGAAGTTCAGTTGATTATCTAAGTGAAAATAAGTTAACAGAATACAGAGAACTCACTTAAATATGGCATTTTCCTGCACATTTAGGGACAATTTCTATTTGTTAGATACGTTGAACATATTGGGAAAAACATTAAACATAAAATATAAAACATGACATAACTTTTGCAGGGGGCATGTTTATGTTTTAGTCCCCCTGTAGAGAATGTGTTTACTTAATTTCACTTAGGCTGCGTTTACACAGCAGGTAAAAGTGGCCCAAATCTGATTTTCTCACCAAATCCGATTTTTTTGTTTGGCTGTTCACATTATGTTTTAAATGTGACCTGCATGCGACATCAGTCTGAACAGATCAGCTCCTAAACCGACCCGCATGCGCAAAAGAACAGTGCTTCACGTGGCTCGTCCAGAGGTAAACGTGGCTCGTCCAGAGCCAGTCGCTCCCGGAGCTTCAGTTTCGGCTTCGCCAGCATCACAGGAGCGAGTATAAAGTTCCAGTGGTTGACAGCTGGACTCATCACCCAGAATGTGTTCGAGTTCGCCGTAAAAAGGGAACGTTATTCGGCCTCAGCCACTTCTTTGGTTCGAGTCCTCAGATTCTTTAAATTGTTCTTTGACCCCGTTGCCTCGGGCTCTTCGGTCTCTTTGTTCGAAACCTCTTCAAACACGGAGCGGATTGATGAGTCTCTTCTAATGTTTTAGTACAGAAACATCAGACTAAATGTTTATGAGTCTCAGCAGCGTGAAATTATGATGAATGTCGCGTTGACTGACGTAAAAGTCGCATGAATTCCGATCCGGCTGTTCACACTGAATCGCATTGCCGCAGATCGGATACGTATCGGATTTCAGTACCACATATGAAAGCGTCTCAAATCGGAATTGAAAATGTCAGATTCAGTGTGTTTTTTGCTGTTCACACAGCCACACAGACACACATCTGTGTCACATTTGAGGATTTGGGCCACTTTTACCTGCTGTGTAAACGTAGCCTTAGAAAATCAGGGGCGCCCAAATTTATGCTTACAACTGTTTATCATCATATGTAATTTCTTGATATTTCTGGGTTAAAAATATCTAAATACATGCCAATGTATTCACATTGATATAATATATGCACATATACAGACTGTTTATGGTGTATATGCATATGTGCATTTTTTATTATTTACATATATGTCAAAAATATGGAAATATATTTACATTTTGCCATTGTTGAAAAAATACAAAGGCAAAAGTTGACTGACATCAAAAGTTTGGGATCACTTGCCATATCAAATTATTTTTTTAGTTAAATCATATGCTATAATAACTTAAATAATATCCATCTTCTAAGCTGGGTTGCAGGGGGTGCTGGAGTCCATCCCAGCGTACGTCGGACGTAAGGCAGGAAACACCCTGGACAGGTCACCAGTCCATTAAAGGGTAGACAAACAGACATACACATTCACACCTAGGGGAGAATTATTATATATTTATCTGCAAACAAATTGGATTTATTTGAGTGAATATTGAAAGCATTGATTCTGAAATTTTGAATAGCAATTCCAAACATTTGAATTCTAGTGTGTGTAAATATATTTGCTTTACATATTACTAATTAGTCTGATTTCATGCTAACTGACACCAGTGGCCAGGGACCCCAGAATGTGTTCATGTTGTGGGTGCTGGAATTTTAAGCAGCGTGTTTGTGATGATGTCATGCAAAATGATTTGCATTTCTTCCATTTGATTTTAATTTTTTTGCCATACAGTGTTTTAATGAGGTGATACACAGCAATATATACATCTAACTGACACATCAAACCAGTGACACACATTATCACTTTGCTTTTTCATTCAGGATGAACTTCTTGACTAATCAGATTGTGGATATGTGGCTCAGTAATGTTGTTGGATTGTGGTTAATTGTAAACACCTGTATGCTTATAGTGTCTGACTCTGTTTATGAGGATAGTCATTCTGTCAGGTCATTGTAGAATGTTCTGTACTTTTCCTATACTTCTCTTTCATGGGTACATAACCTTGAGACTTGAGCAAGAAGACTGTTTGGGCCAGTTGAGGGTGATAACACTCGCTATAATTGTTGTTTGCTCTCGCTTTCTGTGGGAGATGGAACCAAACCGGTGATCGGTGAACATCTCTGAAGACATCCTGAAATGAATCTAACCTTGTCCTCGAAAAAGCACAACTCTGTCAAGTTTATTCTGAAAAACTTTGATAACGACCCCACAAGTCAACAATGTCCACAGTCGTATGCTGAGATTTAACAGTGAAACACACTCAGAGTGGGAAATAAAACGGTTTATAAAAACTTCATTATTATGTTTGATAGTTATTTTTAACTTTTTCAAAAACAATATTAGGCTGCTTTGGGTTCTCGTAAGCAGCCTATTACTCTGTATAGACTTTCTCTCCTTGCACCTGTGCGTGTTTGAGTGACATGCCCTCGAAGTGGCCAGCTGTCGGGTCACTGCACTGAAAATACAGCTACGGCAGATTGTGGAAAAATATAGAAACTCAAACTCTGCTTTAAACCAGCACACAGCTCACATTATTACAAAGTTCCGAACATTATATTATTATTATTGATATTATTGCAATCCTGAAAGAAAGTTGCACTGCAGCCCCCTCAACACTCCCACCCACTAATGGCATCCCTGTTATTAGCTTAGGTTCATCATTAGCTCTTGTTATTTGCTCTTCCTTTAAGTGCTATTCACATAGTCAGAGGTGATAAAAGCTGTTGAAAGGCTCACCGTGCTGAGTTTGCTGCAGCTAATGAGGATGCGCCTCTCAAACAGCATGCTAGCATACAGCTGCAGCAGGTTCCCCACGTCCACAGCCACGACGAGCTCCGTCAGGTTCCTCTAAACACACACAGACACGGTCAGTTCAGTACAGTACACAAAACCAAACGACTGGTAAACAAGTACAGAGAGAAAGAAAGAGTTGAAATAGACAGATATTACAGGAATTATTATGCTAATGTTGTTAACAGTGTCTAAAGAGATCAGTCACCAATACTACTGGGCCCTTTTCACAGAGAGTGCGATTACTTCCGGTTTACGCGTTAGCAGGGTAAAACTAACTTCCGCTCCATACAACCACTGCAGGAGCGATGATAAAATGTTATTGTAGTGAACCATAATGCTCAAACACTGAGCCACAACAGCTGTATTTTAGTTTCCGTGCACGGTCACTACAAACAGTGAGAACAGAAAGTGGATGGAAGCTCTGATTTAACTGTAAACAGAGCTAAACTGTGTGTATCTGTATGTGTGGTGTAGCCCTGCTTACTGCTGCGGCAGCTGCCTCACATCAAGCAGCCTCTCTGTCTTTGAATACCACGCCAGCGATTCTATAATATTTCTGTTTTCAAAAGAAAGAAGAGCTTTTATATATAGTATGAATTTGTTAGACATTGTTTAGCTGTAGCTAGCTAGCTACGCTAGAGGCCACTGCTAACTGTAGCTGTATTCCCAAACAAGGAAGCTAGCTTTCATTAGCTGCTGGCACCAGCCGGCTAACGTGGAGCAGGTTCTGTGACACATTTACAGCAGCGATTTCTCTAATATTATAAACGCAAACCAGAACTTTTATATGTAAAGTCTGTTTGACAGACCTGGTTTAAACTCTCTTTTAGCTTATGGTAGGCTAGCAGGCTACAGGCGCTAATTAGCTAGCCTACCATTAGCAGTTTAAGGAACACTAACTTCATATCAGTAGCAAACTTTAAAGCTAGCTGGCTAAGCTATGTTAGCGATCTGCCAAACAGCATCTTTATTTTAGTTTTATGGCAATTTTTCAAGAAGTACTTCGGAAAACACCCGCCTTTCACTGCTCAATCAAAAAACGCGATTTCTAGCTAACGTGTATCTTAGCATCGCGGTTATGCGGTGACATTTGATTTCCATTTCCTGACATAAGCTAGCTAGGTTAGCTAGTATGTGGTCTGTGAAGAGCCACGTAAGGTTTCTGACATAATGTGCCAGCTAACGTTAGCTGTTCGTACCAAGCTGATCATGTAAGAATTATTTCGTTGATGGTTTATTGCCTGCATTAGCTTTTTAAAGATGAGTGCAAAATGAACTGGTGGTGCTGCTTTATGTTAGCCGGGTAATCTGGCATTAGTTTGGGATAATAGCTAACATTACTGTTAGCAGTAGCTTCTAGCCAGCATAGCTAGCTTAATATAAACGTCCATCAAATTTGTGCCCCATATATAAGTTCTTCTTTCTTTTGAAAACAGAAATATTGCTGTGAAGCAGCTGCAGCAGAAACAAGGCCGTCCCACACATACAGCATTTTAGCTCTGTTTACAGTTAAATCAGAGCCTCCATCCACTTCTTATTCTCACTGTTTGTCATGACAGTGCAGGAAAACTGAAATATAGCTGTTGTACCTCAGTATTGGAGCAATATAGTTCACTACTATAACATTTTGTCATCACTTCTGCAGTAGTTATATGGAAAAGCGAGTTTACCCTGCTAACGCTTAAGCCGGAAGTAATCACGACTCTTTGTGAAAAGGGTCCATTAGTGCCTGTTAGCTTCTATGCACTGTTAGCAACATTAGAATCAGGATCAGGGTTTGTTGACGATGATAGATGGAGAGACTGACAGACAGACATGCAGATACACTCACACTTTCTGGTATGGATGGTAAAGCCTTTGGATCCGGAGCTATAAAATACGGGATCTAAGAAAAAGAACAAAGATTTCCATAGTTAGCAGGTAGCTATCATACGCAAAGTACACAGTAGCACATTTGAAGAGCATTCCTGGTAAACAAAGGTTAGAAATGTGACCAGTAGGGGTGTAAGGTTTCCCATGTCTTCAGGTTCCATTGATTTTTTAGTTCTAAGGTGTATTTTATGTGTTATACATGTTTTAATGCTATGGAGCTCTAATTCTATTCTGCAGAGGATAATTTGGCTCAGATAAATAAAGGTTTTTAATATAAACAACAGTTTATAGGCTGTTCAGAAACTTCCTATCCTTCCTAACACTCCTTCCTATCTGCGCCCAGTCTACCCTGATAGTCCTACCCATCCCTGCCCACTTTTCTCTTATAGGAAAAGTCCTGCCCGCTCTGTCCACCCATTTTACTCCGATAGGAAAAGTCCTGCCCACTCTCTCCACCCTCTTTTATCCTATAGGAAAAGTCCTGCCCACCCTCTCCACCCATTTTACTCCAATAGGAAAAGTCCTGCCCACCCTCTCCACCCATTTTACTCTGATAGGAAAAGTCCTGCCCACTCTCTCCACCCTCTTTTATCTTACAGGAAAAGTCCTGCCCACTCTCTCCACCCATTTTACTCCGATAGGAAAAGTCGTGCCCACTCTCTCTACTCTCTTTTATCCTATAGGAAAGTCCTGCCCACTCTCTCCACCCTCTTTTATCCTATAGGAAAAGTCGTGCCCACTCTCTCTACTCTCTTTTATCCTATAGGAAAAGTCCTGCCCACTCTCTCCACCCTCTTTCATCCTATAGGAAAAGTCCTGCCCACCCTCTCCACCCATTTTACTCCGATAGGAAAAGTCCTGCCCACCCTCTCCACCCATTTTACTCCGATAGGAAAAGTCCTGCCCACTCTCTCCACCCTCTTTTATCTTACAGGAAAAGTCCTGCCCACTCTCTCCACCCTCTTTTATCCTATAGGAAAAGTCGTGCCCACTCTCTCTACTCTCTTTTATCCTACAGGAAAAGTCCTGCCCACTCTATCCACCCTCTTTTATCCTATAGGAAAAGCCCTTACCTTACTCTGTCGGGAAAAGTCCCATCCCTTCTTCATCTACTTTGCTCTCATGGGAAAAGTCCCTCCCCTCCTTCATCTACCCTGCCCCTTCCAGCCCTTCCTTCATCTACCTTACTCTGATAAGAAAAGTCCCACCCTTTCTTCATCTACCTTACTCTGATAGGAAAAGCCCCGCCCCTTCTTTATCTCTCTTACTTTAAAAGGAAAAGCCTTTCTGCCCCTTTAACTCTTACAGGATGTATTCAGATATCTAATTTTAATCACTGAAAGCCGTTTCCACGAAAGACAGCTGTATAGTTTTATATTGCTATATGCTGTTTCTATGCATTATTTTAAATGTTCTGTTTTAATAACACTGTGTTAAAATCATTACACCCTTAGTGATCATGTCCAGTCAAGAGCAGAGTACAGACATGATAGTTTTGTTTAGCACACATCTTTGGTCAGCAAGCCACCTTTGGACAAAACTTAAGGTACTTTTGAACAATGATACTTCAGTTCAGTGTAAAAAAACCTGCATGTTCTAATAATCAATTTAACTGGTTTTATTTAATTCGAATAAACACTTTTAATAAAACAATAAGAAGCATGTTAGTGCATTAGTGCACTGTTAGTGCCTTTCTGTTGTTATGCTTGAGGTCAGTTTCACACAATTTGGATTAGTTAAGCTCTACCTTTGGGTTTAGTTTAGCCTAGCTTCACTAAGGTTAGTTTACATTACACTATTTTATGTGTTAACAGTGTAAATACACATCTTGTGCCTACACTTATGGGCCATTTTATCAGAAACACCTACTTTGTAGATTTACAATTACTGATTATGCAAAGAATAATCCACTCCCCTAATAATATATGGTCAACAGTGGTCCTTTGGTAGTCTTGTGGGCCCAGACGTGATCTTGCAATAAGGGTAGGAAACCTGCCCCAAACTCCTCTAGCCCTTGCTCTTTTAACATCCGGAGTAGTCAATAACACAAGCAGAACAAGCTAGCTAGCAAAACTCTACAGCAGGGTTGCTCAGTCCTGGTCCTGGATCAACCACCCTGCAGGGTTTAGCTTCAACCCAAATCTAGCACACCTGATGCAGGTAAAGGAGGCTTTCAGGGGCATCCACGTATTAGAGTTAGGTGTGCTGAATCTGAACTCTCCAGGGTGGTAGATCTCCAGGACCAAGTTTGGGCACCCCTGCCAAAGAGAACCATTGTTTTTCCTAAAGAACCCCTGAGGAACCATCTTTGTAAGTGTGTACAGTTTTCTAGCAGTTACAAGTGGTTTTATTTTTTTAGAGGGGATCTTTTAGCCATGCTAACTTACATTCCATCCATGTGCTAATAACAGGCCTGTAGTCCATAGAGTACCATTACCCTCTACTTTGAGCTCCACCTTCTTGACTACAAATTTCACACTCAGGTGTTTCCAACTCTAATACGTTTAAAATCCCACCCACACATAGATGTCCCCATTACTTCTGGCCCTGCGAGACTAGTCCTATGGTGGTCTCTTTCCACTGCTGAATGGTGCAGAAGGGGTCTGATAAATGGTGCAGAAACAGATCGGCATAGTCAGCCTATATGGTAGATGTTTCGGATTAAATGGCCCACAAGTGTAGATACAATGCAGGTGTTTCTGGCAACTCACAGAATAACCACACAGTGCATGGATTAGTATTCATTTTAAGTTTAGTGTAGTCCAGGTTTTCCAGCACATTCAGGCTGGTCGATGACTCACCCCTGAGCCTTTACTCATTGAGGAGGGGGTGTGGCCACAGATGAATGGCACCTCACTCCCAATATGTAGCTGTTCTCCCTCATAGAGGAACACACAGGAACCTGATTGGTTATTTGCAGGTGATCTTATACATAACACAGGTTATGGTGCATTCAGATGCACTCATCAGTTGGTAAAGTTGAGAGAATTGTTACATCACCAGATTGCAACTACCAGTTGTTTGTGTTTGAGTAGTAATCAGTAACCATCAATGATACTGTTCACTGCAAAAAAAAAATTCACATAAATTTCTAAATTTCCACAGCATTAAATAGTTTAGATGTAAACAAGTCATTGAGAGTGGTTTGGAGTGAAATATTCCCTTCTAGAAAAACTTACAATCAGAATTGTTCACAGTGGCGAGGATAGGAATCAGATGTCTGAAGCCTCTAAAAACTCCCTCCCAGAAAGAAGATCTTGCTATTTTTAAATTCATTCATAGTGGAGAAGTACATGCAGGGTGTTGTGAGGCAAAATAGTCAGATTTCTCACAGTTTTACCATCATCAACATTCCATATAAAACTCAGTAGACACCTGTAGGTTCATTGGTGGTTTTGGATGGTAAATAAAATGGTTATATTTGTGTTGTAGGCATCACAAATCCTGGTGCCTGTCACCACCACCATAATGAAATTTGAGTTGCTAAAAAGTAGTAAACTGTCACTGGGGCAGTACCCATCTTGTCACTGGGGTGGTACCCTCAAGGGTATATCTCAGGACCTTTAGTCAAGGAACATAATTGTAATCGAATCCACTGACATTATATTTTCAAAGTTGTTCGAAGTTGCCTCGTCTCCAGGCTTTTTATTTTATTGTCCTGTTTTAAAGCATTCGGTTATGACAAGGTACAAATACGTACTTTTCACCTGGAAAAACATATTTAAGGTTCACAATCAGACCTTAAAACCCCTGTTGTACCTTTGAGGGAACATTTACATTGTTTGTACATTGATGAACGAAAACTGTACCCTGAATCTTTATTTCTAACAGTGTACGATTCTCTACAATGAAACCATTTTACATGTAAACCACTCTGAATGACTGTCACCCATTAAGCTATGCAGACCTGTTGAAGTTGGAAACATTTGAGGAAATGTCCGTTAATGTGACAATAAATTATGCTCACTACAATACAGAAATTGAAGAGCCATTGACACGTTTACCATTAACTTCGCAGATCACACTGCCAGCTTGGGTCTGCTGAATTCACATGCTACAGTTGCTAAACTTGGGTAACATAGAACTTTCTAGGTTTACCACTAGTCAGACATTTGATTGCAGCTTCCTTTTGGTAAATTTGAAAATTCTCAAGTGTACGAGGGCCGTCCAAATGCACAAATATCATCACCTCTTGGTAGTGAGAACTTACCAGCTGTAGAGTGACAGAGCCATTAGCCAATGGCACAGGGTGTTTATAAAGTGCCGTCAGTAAATCCAGCATTTCTTTAGTCTGTCAAGGTCAGAATATACAAATGTATTATATGTACAATATATACAGAGTCCATTATTATAAAATATGAAACATGTTTGAAAAATAATGTAAGTAATGACCAAATGTGTTTACCTGGCCTTTTGTCACATAATCTGCCAGGTTGTTCAACAGTTTGTAAAAGACCTCGAACCAGGGCAGGTAACTGCAGGACAAAATTTCAAAATTAGGTCCCCATCTCTGCTTTTGAGAAGAGGCATTCTTCTGTCCATGTTTATAGATAACAGTGTTTGGTGTCAGAAACCACATAAACAAGTTATTAGAGATTACTGAACAACTCCACAGGGTTTGAGACAAGTGTGTGATGATTTAGGCAACCTCTGGTCAAATGACACATTTTGTTGATGTGAATGACATTTGTCTGTAAATTTAAAACACACTTATTAATTATTTGCTGAATTTGACATATTGAAAAATATGTTAATTGTGTGCAAAGGTTTGGGCATCCAGTTGCACCATTGATGGGTTTTTTTCTTGTCTTATTTGACTCATTAGGTCTTAATCCAAGTCAGCTGTCAACAATTCCAGAGTGTAATAATTTCTCTGACCCTTCAAGCCTCTCAGGGTTTTGTTCTTACTCACTCAACATCTAACTGAGGATCTGAAACTAACTCTTGCAAAGGAAGAGAAGACTATAAAAGACCCCTAAACACATCCTGCTTGTAATTTTCACTGCCCATAATGTCAGTAAGAAGTAAAAGAAAGGGAGAACTGCTGAGACAAGATCTGGAAGATTAAGAAATCCACTTATATAACTGCTCATAGACTGGTCAGGTATGCAAAGCAAAACCCCCAGATCACTGTCAAAAGCCCTACAGGAAGATTTGGCTGGCACGAGAATAGTGATGCACTGGTCTACTGTGCAGTGTTGTTACTTAAACATCTGCAGTCGGGGGAATGCACACACATTTAGATCAGCCAGAAGTGTTTTGAAAACAAAGACAAGACAATAATAAAACATGCATCACTGTCAACTTTGAACTCCTTCAAGAAATAAAGGATTAAAGTGTTGGAATGTCCTTCACTGCCCCCTGACTTGAATGTTATGAAAATCTGTTGGCAGATCTCAAACATGCTGTGCATGCAATGTGATCTATGAATATTTCTGAGCTAGAATTACCATTATATAAAATTCTGCAAGTAAAAATGAGAAAAAAATCTTAAATCAAGAATGGAAGGACTATTAACCGACTACAAGAAATGTTCAGAGACTGTCAATTGAGTCAAAGGGAAGTGAAAGTCCTTATAGAAAGGGTGCCCAAACTCAAACCAGGACTACCTAATTAACTGCCTGGATCCCTGGAATGCTTCTAAATTCTGATGGGTCCCTAAAAATAAACATATCATGATGTTATGCAGTTCATTAGTGGAAAATAGTCACCCAGATACAAATTCTGGGAAAGGTCATTGTTTAGCCTGCTTAAACCACAAAACCACGAGGTAGGCCGATACTGGTATTCTTAACAAAATAGAGATGAAGCACTGGTCTTCCTCAAGGTGGCTGGCAAACTGGCTCACCCAGTTGGTCCTTCATAGCCTACAAACTGTAACAATTGTCGAGATACCTTGGAAAAAAATTACAATATGCCATAGCATATTTGTAAATCTGAAAACATGCCCAATTTTCCAAAAGACTGGTGGAAACTGTTAATCATTTCTCAAACTGCAGACAAAAGATGAGACAATTAATCGATTCATTTATCGAAGAGGGCATTACCAAACTATAAAAGAGCATTTCCAGAAGAAGAATTGTTAAGCCAAATTTTTTTGCCATTGAAGTTACCATCAGCGCAGCTAAGGCAATTGAGTTAGCAACCAGCGAATGCTGGAGTAGTCAACCAAATTGGGACCCCCAAATACCAAGGGGTATTTCGCACATGCCCAAACTTACGCACACCCTATATTTTTTCCAATATGTGAAATAAAAATTTGCATATATATATCACATTTAAGTTCCACACAGAGGACATGTTAACTCTTTTTTGACTTAGAAAATCAACAAAATGTGCAATTAGCATACAATTTTGTATGCACTGTACTGGAGACAATCCTTTGCAGTTAGATCAACTAAACTCTCTTATGCTATCACTTTCTAAATTATGGGCTCATTCATGACTGACCACATGACTAGGAAGAGGAACTGACCTGTATATGTTTAGGTCAAACACTGCTGAGCCAGCGCTATGAGCTATAAGGGAGGGTTTAGGAACTCTGGGTTCCTGCACAGTTTGGGTGATTTGTCTTAGTTTATTTGTTTGTATTAGACTATTTATATAAACTAAAATATAAACTAAAGGCCTCTTTTCCACTGTGGGACCGAACAGTTCTGAGCAAGGAGAGTAACGACTCCAATGGCATTTTCAGCAGTGAACACTACAAACCGTGCAAATAAAAAGTTTGGTTTGCTTAAAACAGTGCTTGATTTTCAGTCCATCTTTCAGTCAATGTCAAACCATCAATCTAACAGCAACTGCTAAATGATAAACAGTGTTGCTAACTAAGAGAGATGATCTGGTTAGCATTTTTGTAGCATGTTAACAGCTCTGCTAACAGTGTTTACGTACATCACTGAACTCTTTTTTTCTCCAAAAAGTCAGGAACAATCCTTTTTTCGTGACACGTGCATGTGCATATTTAAACAGTGCTGCTAGCTAGAAGAGAACCACTGTTAGCATTAGCTTAGCATGCTAGCAGCTCGGTTAGAGATCAGGCTGACTGTAGTTTCTTCTTAGGTATTTCCTTGTCCTGATTTAGCAGCTCAGCAGAAGCTGCTAAACCAGGACACGGTTAAGGCATTCTCACAAGTCCAGAATAGAACAGCACAAAACAGTCATGGAAACCATTTTGGTTTATAGTGAAAACAAGGTCAAACTGTGCTGGTTTCTCAGCCACTTCCCACCGCAAAGTGTTCTGCCTCATTAAACACCTGATTCGGCTCTTAAGCTAATTAGCAAGGCCTTCTAAACAGTATGTTAACAATAGTACACCAGCATTAGAAGTGCATTTATCAGTACACCATGTACAGTACAGTAGCATGTGGTTGTGGACGCAGCCACAATGTTAGAAGAGGGAAAACACTGCTCTCTGCAGAGCTGTGACCTGGAAGGAACCCAGTTTGAGACCCTGACATACAACATGTGTGCATTGGTGTGCTAACCTGAGGATGCACAGGCAGGTCTGGGAGCTGGAGGTGAGTCTGCAGAAACCGAATCGCTGACATCCTTCCAGATCAGTCAACACAAAGGTGAAGTGCTGGACAGCCACTCCATCCCTCACCCTGCCCATCAGTCAACCGGTCAGTCAATCAATCAATCAAAAATCAAATCGAACAGTTTGCACTCTCACAACAGAATTATTTATAGTAATTACTGAATAATACATCTTAAAAGGCCATATTTATACATCCATACATATTTATACATCCATGAATATTGCATACTGCACTGCACTACACTTTGTTTATACACCCATGCGTATACACCTATTAACATATGTTATTGTTTACAGTGTTTAGTCATTTGGTTCATTCACTGGATGTGACACGCACCTCTGCGTGATTTTTCTTACTTATTTTCATACATCAGATTATATTTTATGGTTGTTTTAGTATATTTTGTTATACATCTTAACTTCTATTATTTATGCATCTGTATAATGGTGTACGACAATACAACTAGCTCTATTTTGCTCTTTACTGTATTTTGTGCTAATGTAATATCTATCTATCTATCTATCTATCTATCTATCTATCTACCTACCTACCTACCTACCTACCTACCTACCTATTTTTTCCCTGAGGTTCATTTATAGCATTTGAATTTATGTATTAAAAACAGTCAGAATTCATTTTCACCTCTCTTTATTGCTTTGATTTAGTCCGGCAGTTTTTGTTACTGTGCCTTTAAGACTGATATATGTAAATAGACTCTGTATGTCTTGTATCATGCCTCACTCCAGTCTGAAACACTCCTCATAACAATTATCTCAAATTTCTATTTAAAAAGGCTCATTTAAGATTAATGACACAACTATAAGCCTAACCCCTTAAATGGCCAGGGCCCAGCAGTGGGCCCAGAGTTTTATTACACTCTTCTATAGCCTAAGAATAGCTCAGCCAGTTTGCACTGAAGTCCCTGTAGTTACTGAATAATAAGCTTTAGTAGGTAATAAGCCTGGGATTCTCAAGGCTTAAAGTGGCAATAAATGATCTGTGGGGAGTCATTCTGAGAATGTGCATGAGTGAGTGGACAGATGAATGGATGGATGTGTCAGTCAGGATTACCTCTCTATGTCATATGGGAAGCAGAAACGAGGAAGTGACTGCAGACACTCCTGCAAGAGAGAGTGGTGAATAAATGTGCACATAATGTTTATTTTTCCTTAACTTTTGTTTGCATTTATAGTTGTTAAGGTTAATCAGGAATGAAAAAACAATTTTACACTGAAAAATGATCTTTTTAAATAACTAACCTCATCACTGAAGTCCTCTGGGAACTGAAACAGCACGCCTGGATCTAAACAAACAGCAGAGAGACCACAAAACAGGCAGGTTTTTTACAGTGTCATTATTTTCATACCTATATCCCATATGTAATGTGTGTATGCATGTATATGTAAATATATATATGTATGTATATGCCCCTGATGTGTTAGATAACTATGTACCTACATGTAATTATAGTACATATTATTATTCTATATTGTTATGCATATATTCTATATTGATATGCATTATAAATATGTACACATAGTACCTATAGATAATAATAATAATAATAATAATGTCCACCATGTATTACACACACACAAAACAGACATCTATAATAATATATGACTATATATATATATATATATATATATATATATATATATATATATATATATATATATTTATACAACCCCAATTTCTAAAAAAGTTGGGATGCTGTGCAGAATGTAAATAAAAATAGATTGCAATGATATGCGAATCATGTAAACCATATTTTTAAAGGAAAATAAGACAAAGACAACATATCAAATGTTGAAACTGAGAAATTTGATAATTTCTGAAAAATATATGCCCATTTTGAATTTGATGCCAACAGCACATTTCAAAAAAGTTGGGCCGGGGCCTGTTTACCACGGTGTTGCATCACTTCTTCTTTTAACAACACTCTGTAAGTGTTTGGGAACTGATGAGAAACTGCTGTAATTTTGAATGTGAAATGTTTTCTCATTCTTGTTTGATACAGGATTTCAGCTGCTCAACAGTTCGGGGTCTCCTTCGTCGTATTTTTCATTTTATAATGTGCCAAATGTTATGAGTGGTGACAGATCTGGACTGCAGACAGACCAGTTTATCACCTGACTCTTTTAATACGGAGCAATGCTGTTGTAATACATGCAGAATGTGGTTTGACATTGTTTTGCTGAAATAAACAAGGCCTTCCCTGAAAAAGACGTCGTCTGGACGGCAGCATATGTTGCCAAAACAAGTAGATATCATTTAGCATTAATGGTGCCTTCACAGATGTGCACGTCACCCATGCCATGTGCACTAATGCCCTTTACCATCATGAATACTGGCTTTTGAACTGTGCACTGATAACAAGCTGAGTGGTCTTTAGCCTGGAGGACACAGTGTCCCTGATTTCCAAAAACAATTTCAAATGTTGATTCATTGGACCACAGGACACTTTTCCACTTCCCCTCAGTCCATTTTAAATGAGCTCAGGCCCAGAGAAGGTGGCAGCATTCCTGGATCCTGTTTATATATGGTTACTTCTTTGTGTTTTAGAGTTTTAACTTACATTCGTAGAAGCAGCGATGAACCGTTTTCATGGACAGTGGTTTTCAGAAGTGTTTCTGAGCTCATGCAGTGGTTTCCACTACATAATCATGTCTGTTTTTAATGCAGTGCTGCCTGAGGGCCCAAAGATCACAGCCAGCAAATACTGGTTTTGGCCTTGTCCCTTACATACAGAGATTTCTCCAGATTCTCTGAATCCTTCTCTTCTTCTTTGCTATTTTATGTTGAGAAATGTTATTGAATTGTTGCACTATTTGATCGTGCAGTCTTTCACAGAGTGGAGAACCCCTCATCATCTTTACTTCTGAAAGACTCCGCCTCTCTGAGATGCTCTTTTTATACTCAGTCATGTCACTGACCTGTTGCCAATACACCAGGTGTTTTTTTAGCATTACACAACTTTACCAGTCTTTTGTTGCCCCCTTCCTGTTTATTGGAACGTGTTGTTGGCATCAAATTCAAAAAGGGGCAAATAATATTTCAATAAACAATAAAATTTCTCAGTTTCCATTTAATATGTAGTCTTTGTACTATTTCCAATGAAATATAGGGTTTAAATGATCTGCACATCATTGCAGTCCCACCTTTTTTGTAAATGGGGTTGTATATATATATATATATATATATATATATATATATATATATATATATATATATATATGTATACACACACACACACACACACACACATATATATATATATATATATATATACAAATAGTACATATATATAGTAGTATATTCCATATGTATTATACATATTGTATATTGTTAATGTAACCAGGTATTTTGGGTTGTTTGTATTGCTCCTTCCATCAAAATCATCAAATTTTAACACAGTGTAACAGGTAGCCTATCATTTCAACTTTCAAAAAGACAGAAATGTACGCACAAGGCTTTGGTCTCGACAGCAATGATATGTAAGTACCTACACATAATTATAACATTTCCCATATATATTATCTACATGTAATATGTCCCATATGTAATAATAATATGTACTACATGTATTACCTATTTGTAAGAACCTATATATATAAGAGTTTTCTAAGCCTAAACCTAGCCCTAATCTTAACTTCAGTGAGCAAAAAGCTCAGTCAGGATCATTTAGTTAGTCCTGTGTGTTAATCCTGCTTTTTTTCTGGTTTGACTATAAAATTGAGACACTTTGTCTTAAAAATATACAGAAACAAACGCACAAAAACAAACTGCTTCAGTTCTTAAGAAGTACTCATGAAGCTTCGGCCATAGGCCGCAGGCCCGACTCGATTCTGCACTGTGTAGAGGATGTGGTTGAATGAAGTCATCAGGTTTCTAACACAATGACACCAACAGCGTCTTCCTGCACACGGTAACTGCTCAAACACGCACCAAAATAGTTAGCCTGCATTAGCAATAACTACTGCAGGAGGAACCAGCTCTAGTACAACAACAGCTAAGATATCATTTACTAAAGTCTATGTTTGTTGTAGATCTTTCATCATCAATTTCATTCTCTCTCTCTGATCAGTGTTCAGGCTGTTTCCTCTCTAGGTTTAGTAACAGCCACTAGCTGCAGTTAATCCTAGTGTGCTAGCCAGCCTCGGACTGTTCCCATGGCAACCGGCAGAGCTCTGTGGTTTTCTGGCTCAGTCATGTGACGGGAAGAACAGCCACGCTCAGCAGATTACCACCCACCATCACCCCACACGAGCTGTGCCCTGCATCCGTGTGTACATATGCTCACCTTTGTCCCTGGCGATTGGACACGAGGCTTGAAAGAACCAGTAAAATGTCCTCTCTGGGTTTTCTCTGAAAAAACAAAAAAATTATCATCAGGACACAAATAGGCAGAGTTCTCAAATTTAATTTTATTGCATACTTGAACACAAGATTAACTATATGGCAATGCTGGATTTTATGAACAGGTATTTTTTTTTTTTGCTATTGCTAATATGCTAATACAGTGCTTCATTGATGGTACTTTTTCCAGACAAAAATTAAGCTTGTTGAGGTTTTCAGTGGATGATATTATCAATAGTAAATATAATATTGCTTTTAAAAACACTGCATTTAAACGTATTTACATGATAGCAATGTGAAAACATCATCTTACAGTGGGATTGCTTCACTTGAATTTCATAAAATTAGGTCAAAGAAAGAAAAAAAGTTATAAGAAAAGAATTGGTAAAGCTTTTCTAGAACCCAGCAACATAACATAACATTGAGAATAACAATAACCATGTCATAAGTATGTTGCTGCATATGTCAGGTGGGGTCAGGAGTTATCAAGACAGATGCCCAGTAATTTAATACCATATAACATGAAATATATTACAGGATTATATTATATAATGTAATAGTTGCCATTACCATTCATTTTCACAAGATATGTTGTAATGTTTGTTGTCTAGAGTGACAACTGATACAGTGTCTTTTAGCAAGAATTAGCATGTGACACAAGCTGTCATGACAATTACCAGTGATAGTAACATGGCACTGTTATATCACCAAACAAAACCTGTCATGGCAACTCATGACAGCATATGACATCTGCTGTGACATGTTTATGACATGGTTATGTCAATGTTATGTAGCAGAGTTAAAGTGTTACCAAAAAAGTGCTGTAGATTTGCATTCAAATATTTGACAGATGGTCTTATCCATGTTAACTTATGAAAAATGTAAAAAAGTGAAAGTGAAAATATTATATATTATTTGAAATGTGTCATGGCTAGCTTGACTGAGCAGAAGTATAAAATGGTGCAATAGTACAGTCACGGATCATAACTGGTCAAGGAACAGTCTGAAGTATGGATTCTAAAGAGCACAATATAACTTCACATAGAGGGCATAGATGGGGCCTGTGGAAGATGTTCGTAGGGAAAGGACACTAATTTAGGACAAATTTGCTTTGTGAGTCTGTTTAGACTAAAAGGCAAGACAACACACGTTGCTTAACAAGGCTGGTGTTCTAAACCATGACTTGGACATCTAGAACTCCAATTTGAGCTGTTAACCGACCCCATTGATTTAGTATACATAGAAAATAACAGTGGCCCAAGAACTGAACCTTGGTGAACACCATTTGTAAGATTATGTGGTAATGAAAAATAGCCCTCTCTTGTCTTTCCATAGTTCTCAAAACATGAGGACATTTTGGGAAAGCAACAAAAGAGAGGACACAGTTCATAATGTCAATGAAAATAATGACAAAGACTTAATCTTCGTCAACATGATTTCTGATGGTAAAGATGAAACTGTAATGAAAAAGTACATAAAAGTACTTAATTCATTTGGCACTTACATCTAACTAAAATGACACAGGTGCCTGAGTGGATGCAAGTCAAGTTACAGCATTTAAGTTTGGGTACTGGTCTTGTAAATGATTAGACTAGTCCATTTTTAGATTATTAGTCCATTTTTAGATTATTATTAATTATGTTCTAAAACTGCAGGCCTTAGACATCTGTAAGAGCTACTGTAATATTTGCTGGGAGTTTTATTATGGGATCCTACTCCAGAGAAGATATGCAGTCACAAACATACTCACAACTATATAAATGTGTATATATAACTGTATTGACTAAAATGTATCTTAAGTAAATTTTATTTGTGTTAGATATAAATATAAGTTCGGTAAAACTAAAATGTATTTCCAGACTAAGTCTAAATCATTTATGGATGTCAAGATTAGTACTGCCCCTGAGTCCTCTTGTGTTCTAATGAACACCGTCATAGAGAGTGAGCTGATCTGATCCTAGATCAGCACTACTGCATCACTGATGTTTATATTACCACCTAGTTTTGATTTAGTCTCAATCTTAGTTGGTTTTAGTTAAATAAGACTTCCAGAAATCCCATTTTAGTCAATGAAAATCTGACTGTGGTCGTGCCTATATATACTCATATAGCTGTGTGTGGGTATGCCCAACTGTGCTAGGCCACATCCTCCCATCATGCACCTGGAACCCTATTTGTAAAACAAACATCCTCCCATCATGGAGATGAAACTCAGACTAGAGCTGAAGTCAAGTGCTGAAGGCCTTCACCACCGTCCAGAGAGCTTTCTTCACACCAACACTTCTGAAGTCACTCATGAAGCAAATTATCAGCAGATAAGTTGACCAGGCGAAGCACTAAACCTGAGATTTCCAACTAATGCATCTTGTACCTTTCATCTCTATTTTAGTTTTTTGTGCTTTTGTATAACACATATATTACATATTTACATTGTGTGAACATTTCACGATGAATGGACCAACAGAAATGATCTAAAATGAATTTTTACATTACAAATTAAGAACATTTTTTTTTCCTTTTCCTGTAAAGTTACCATTTCCATAAATGGTTATGTTCTGAAAGTAATGATATATGATCATTTCCTTGTGGCCTACCTCGATAAACAATAACGATAACAATAGATTAAACCTGCATTCATGTAGAACCAAGGCCATTTGAGCAGATGACCCTATACTAGAACATACAACGTACAGATGCAAAGACTAAAGCCATCTAATTTGACTGTCCAAACATATAAGCATGCTACTGAAGAGTGAAAAATAGTGGTAAAAATCTTTAGACACACACGCTGCTGCCGTGACAAAGGCTTATATGTCCAAAATTGTAACCTTACGGTAGAATTTTATACTTGTAAGTCATTTCGGGCCACTTTTACTGGCCCATTCATTCTGAAATGTTCGCACCCGGTCAAGAGTAGCTGGTGCTTTCAAATCGTTTTAAATAATAAGAAGAATAATAAAGAAAACAAGATTCTGATATGATGGAGACAGCATGTAGGAGCTATTTTGACACAGCGGCATTTTGAGTAAGGTCCAGGAAATGAACCACTGATGCAACCGACATAATTACGCTCGCAACAAAGTACATTTTTAAATCAATTTGCTTTCACAGAGGCCTTTATGGTATGTACATATAATTATTAATGTTGCGCCAATATGGTCTTATTTCATCAGAGTGAGAGAGAGAGAGAGAGAGTGAGAGAGTGAGACATACGTATATAGAGAAAGACTGAGGTTGACTTACTTGAGTCTGGATCCCATGCTGTAGCTGTAGGATGGAGTCCATAAGTGATTTATTGGAGTTTTTGCAGTAAGAGGGTCATTGTACAGCTAAGAGCAGCTTATCAACACACACACACACATACATATACATACACACACACAGTCGTACACACACACACACACGGTCGAGTGGATAAGCAGCAGACCCACAGTTAAAAATGCTTACTTCCTGATCTGGGTGCATATTCGTGTATGTGTATGCGGTTCATGTAATGTGTGACGGCTGTAGCTGTTTCCTTCTCATCACATCTCCAGTTTTTTCTCTCCTTTTCTTCCTCTTTTATCACAGGACAGCTATGATTGTCACATATGTTGTTTTCCTTCGAAATCTGCACAGTACCGTGTATAAGTCAGAAACCACTTCTATTTTATTTACATTACATTTTTCAGAATATTGCTTGCTTAAAGATGGACAAAAAACAAAGTAAAATAAGTGGAAAAGGGGAGTTTCCAAAACTGGAGGTCAAATAATGGTTAAAAGCTGCAGAGAAAATGGGACTCCTAACAACAACCTGCAAGACTGCAAGACCATCAGATAAACAGCCCCATCAGATAAACAACACTTAAAGCTTTCATCTCTGAGAGAGAGGAGAAAATCAAGCTGCTTCAGATCTGAAAACATCCACAGGTGTTTCTGTCCATCCTTCCACTGTGAGAAGACGACTCAGCGCTATGAGTCTGAAAGGATGTGTAGCTGTTAAGCAGCCCAAAAACGACAAAAAAGAAGAAGCTATTGCCCATAAAAACAACTGACCACCCCAGAGTTCACCTCCGAGGGTCGCCACTTTGCCAACAAATCTATCAGCAATTTAGGAACAACATTCCTCAACATATTTAACTCTCTTTGGTGTATAATATTATCAAAAGATTCAGGGAATCCAGAGAAAAGTGTGTAAAGGGCAAGGTTAAGACTGAACTATGCACAGCAGAAGCCATTTGTGAACATGGTCCAGAAACACTGTCGACTTCTCAGGGCCAAAGCTCATCCGGAATGGACTGATACACAAGGGAAACGTTTGTTGTGCTCTAACATCAGAATGTTTATGGAAATAATGAACATTGTCTTCTCTGAGCCAAAGAAGAACAGCACCATCCAGATTGTTACATCAACACAATTATTGCCAAAACTAAGCAAACCTAAAGAGGAAACAGTGTTGATGTAATACGTTCTATTCATGTGGAAATCATCATTGCATCTCTTGTTTCAGTATTTCATTGGTACACTGTTGTTAAATACATAATTTCCATCATCAACACATTTCCTTTCAGAAATATGTGATTAGTAAAGTAACAGAATCACCAAATGAAATAGTTATTGGTCATTTTATCAGAACCTCCTACCATCCAGATGCAAGTAAATGATACACTTTTTCTAGTGTACTCTGGCTTAGTTTGGGAGTAAATGCTGCTTATATAGCGGTGTGTGTTTTTAAATCTCTTTGTCTTTCCGTCTGTGTCACACATACACAGCGTTTGAGGACGTGTTGAGCAGGCACACTGAGAGGAAATCGAGTACAGGAATAGACTTCCTCTATTGCACAGCCGCTTTTACTCTTCACTGTCTGTCTCTCTTCACCTCTCCATCCCTCGTGTTTCCTTTTATAATCACTAAGTCGATGCCCTTCGTCCTGCAACGGACTCCAGCCCTAAAATAACAGATAGTTATTCTACACAGCAATAACATAATAATGCTACAGGTTTCCTAATATCATCTTAAAGTAAATTCAGGCAAATACTGTATGTAAATTACTGCAGGAATATGGATGGCCGCACTGTTGCCAATGAAGGTGGCGGCCATCTTCAGGCTGCAGGGTGGGATGTCACAGATGGCTGTCTTGACATTGTTGGGGATCCACTCGACGAAGTAGCTGCTGTTCTTGTTCTGGACGTTAAGCGTCGGCTCTTCCATTTCATTCATGGACATACAGCCATGGAAGACAGCGGCCACTGTCAGGTAGCAAATGTGGTTTTGTTCTAGTCCATCTGTAAAGCGTTTCATGGCCATCTTGTTTGCTGAAATGTATTCTGTTGTTTCTGGCTAATTGTAGTTTATTTACTTGTTTAGTTGCTGGCCAAAAAGTTTGCTTAAGATCAACGACAGGTTTGGAGTTTGATGTCGGCCTGCTGTTCTACTCTTTTTCACAATCTGACCAAATGGATGAAACTGTGCATCCAATGAGAGCCAAACCTAGCAAGAATGCTAAGACATCTCTTTGACCCTTGGGTGAGTGTTGTCCAGGCAACATGAGGGCAAAGGTCCAGTCAAATTGCTGCATGATGTAGGCCCAGATTGTGTAGACTCTTGCTGTTTTTTATACTTCAGTCATTTTTTTTTACAAACACAATGCAAAATACTATTTGTTCATTACATTTTCCTTGATTTCCTTTAAAGAGGCAAAAGCAATCAGTCTTACAGTTGTATGCAGTCAAATGACATGAGTTGGAACAGTAAATATAACTTTTGCACAGGCTCTGTAGAGGCATAACATTTGCATTTGACTGTATATCAAATATGGCTTGTTGAAAGCCTTATTAATATAACATATGACTTACAATGACATAATAGGACTTATGGAGGGCCTGAGACAATTAAACTGACTAACCGAAAGGAGCTGGACTTTCCCATCACTAGCCCAAAGGGCAGACACAGAGCCGGCTTTCATATTGAGGGGTTAAATTGATAACAAGAAGGTGGGGAGTTTCATTCTTCAATTCAGTCTTTCATTCACTGTCTAATAAGGTCAAATGGATGGCCCTTTTATTAACCTGTTAACTTCTATTGCACAAGCACATTTGCTCTCTAGAACTGACTCACTTCCCTTTTACTCACCTTGCACTTCCTCCCTCATTTCTCTCTTCCTCTGACTTTATATCACTGTCAGGAATGAACTGTTTTTAAATCAAGGGGCAGTTTTTACTCACTGAGTATTAGAGTAGTAGAGTAGAGTACTAAAACAGTATCAAACGCCATCTCTGAAGCCTAAAAAAGATTCAAATGTCTTTTTTTTTAACAGGTTTCATATAGGGGGCAATTTTGCCTTCATGTTGTAAATTTCAGCATCATTTTTTAAACTTTCAAGTCCCTGTTCCCTTAACCCTTTGCTAATTCCAGATAATGGCATTAACATACATGTATATTAAGTGGCAGTTTATTTTTGTCATTGATTTTTAAATATGCAGTGGCATCTAGTGGTCAGAGGTTGGAAGTGCCACTCAAAAGCAATAAGGGCTTGACAAAGCTGAAGTTCACCAGCTTCTTATTTGAAATTTCCTTTCCACCTTAAATGGTGCAGCAGTTATATTCTGGCACCTGTAACTCCTGCACCCTTTAAGGTGGAACCGCTAGGAAGCCAGCTTCAGGCCGGTGAGGGTTTCGCTCACAGAATCGCAAAATAAAGATGACGCAGTTCACAGTTGGGTTCACTCACACTTTTATTCAATCTATGTTGAATCCAAGTTTGTTGTGATGGTGAAAATAAGTAAGTATGGTGAACTCAGTGTTGCTCATGTCATGAGGGGAAAACAATGGACTCAGGGTTGCGAGAGCACAGGAATAAACACCACTGCTAATGTGAGAATGTGTCAACGAGAGCTTGCTTCCTTTTGTCTTGAACAGATACACCTTCACGAAACACCACGAGTGATGGAGACTGGAAGGAGAGAGAAGGTTGGGAGGGGAAAGGAAAGTGAACACAAAGGAACCGACGGAATTATTAGCTGGAGAAGAAACAGACGAAGATAAAGAGAAGAAAGGATTAGGCTGCCTCCTCTTCGCCTTCCTCCTCGAACTCGCCCTCCTCGGCTGTGGCATCCTGGTACTGCTGGTACTCGGACACCAGGTCGTTCATGTTGCTTTCAGCCTCGGTGAACTCCATCTCATCCATGCCTTCTCCGGTGTACCAGTGGAGGAAGGCCTTGCGGCGGAACATGGCGGTGAACTGCTCAGAGATGCGCTTGAACAGCTCCTGGATGGCCGTGCTGTTGCCGATGAAGGTGGCGGCCATCTTCAGGCCACGGGGTGGGATGTCACAGACGGCTGTCTTGACGTTGTTGGGGATCCACTCAACAAAGTAGCTGCTGTTCTTGTTCTGGACGTTGAGCATCTGCTCATCCACTTCCTTCATGGACATGCGGCCACGGAAGACAGCGGCCACTGTCAGGTAGCGACCATGGCGTGGGTCACAGGCGGCCATCATGTTCTTAGCATCAAACATCTGCTGGGTCAACTCTGGCACCGACAGAGCACGGTACTGCTGGCTCCCCCTGCTGGTGAGGGGCGCAAATCCAGGCATGAAGAAGTGGAGACGGGGGAAGGGGACCATGTTGACGGCTAGTTTGCGCAAGTCGGCATTCAGCTGGCCTGGGAAGCGAAGGCAGGTGGTGACACCACTCATGGTGGCTGAGACCAGATGGTTGAGATCTCCATAAGTGGGTGTGGTCAGCTTGAGTGTGCGGAAGCAGATGTCGTAAAGTGCCTCGTTGTCGATGCAGTAGGTCTCATCCGTGTTCTCCACCAGCTGGTGGACGGACAGAGTGGCGTTGTAGGGCTCGACCACTGTGTCGGACACTTTGGGAGAAGGTACGACACTGAAGGTGTTCATGATGCGGTCGGGATACTCTTCGCGGATCTTGCTGATCAGCAGGGTGCCCATACCGGAACCAGTGCCTCCGCCCAGAGAGTGGGTGAGCTGGAAGCCCTGCAGACAGTCGCAGCTCTCGGCCTCCTTGCGCACCACATCCAGCACGGAGTCCACCAGCTCTGCCCCCTCCGTGTAGTGGCCTTTTGCCCAGTTATTGCCAGCTCCACTCTGACCTGGAAGAGAAGAACAAGAGGGTCTATGAGTCCTTCATAACTCCACACAGTGGGTATGAACAATGAATAGGTCAGACTAATGGGATACATACATTCTTGAATAGCTCATCTAAACTAATTAGTGTATGATAATTTTGAAATTATGCAAAATTTCATTTGAAATAAAATAGTTTCACTTCCATATAGATACTAAACTCCATTTTGAATTCACTGTTTTGTCACAAGAGGCAATGCTTTACATATATCCACCTACTCTGCCTACAGCACTTTAGCCCCGCCCATTCTTGTTAAAGTAGGTGTGTTGCAGCCCAGACTAGAAAATTGTAATATGTGGGACCTTTCATTTATTATGCCGCATAATTTCTGCAGCTC